TGTCATCATTATGTATATACTGAAGAAGAGCTTACCAATCAATATAACCACCACTACACATGGCTTTTCTTCTACGGATTTATTGGCTAATTAATGATTTTAGTTTCTTATTAATACTCACCCTTATGCCTAAAGACCATATAAGTTAAATATATATTCAAGGACAATAAAAAGTTATTTCATTACACATTAGGTACTCACGTAGATATCTTCTACACTTAGCTACCCAATGTATTAAACTCACTAGGCACTCGATGAAAGAGTCAAGAATTTCGTAAGGATCTGGGATGCCGGTACCCAGTCTATGTGGATAGGTCCATATGTAACGATAAAGGTACATGGGCGGAAGGTGACAAGTGGGTCTATACATTACGTTCGACGTCCTGCACGATATCGACGGACTGGTGTCGTTATTCACAGATGGCTGGCAAACCATAAGGCCGAAGGTTAGATGGCCACTTCAACAGATGGCATAATGATATGCACAACAGCAACTCTTCGTATCATGTGGCCCTACCTTTAACTCCTTGATCGGCTACTCAAACATAGCCACTGATCGCATTCATGATATTTCAGAAAGATCACAGCGCTGGTAGCGCTGACCTCAGCGGCGGCGAGCATCTGAAGCAGATGAGAGCGCTTGGTATGATTTCTCGGCGCTTGGCTCCTATCCCATTAACCCAGTTAACCCCAGCCCAGTGGCAAATACGTAGCTTTCTCTCCGTCCTTCGAGAAAGCCAGCATAAAGCCTCTCTCTAGCATAGCTACCGGGGTCGAAGCCAGTTGCCACGTTTGTGAGGAGGATTCCAGCCATTGAAGCACCTGGCGCAACGGCTAAGTCATACATGAAGGGGTTAAGTGTAGAACGGAAGGTGAATGGATCGGCCTGTCCTTCGGCACGGGGATATCGTGGGCGCAAACTTAATCCGGTTCGAGATGAACGAGATCTCGCCAGGGTGGTGTGGAGATTATGCTCTGTGATAGGGTATGCATAGCCGTAGCCGAAGGCAGTCATGGATTCTCATCATAGCGCCCGTGGATCTTCTGCACAGCTACTCAACCCCGTAGAACCATATATAAGGAAGAGGCGGATGGCCAAAGAGGGATCGTTTAGGATTAGGAAAGGATCTACTCAAGGAGTGGCAAGCCGAGAGTAGGTCTGGTATGCTCTTGATATGTAACAAGAGGTCTAGGCTTCGAAGATAGTAACACTGCGGCATCCTATAAGCTGACACGAGGCATGATATCGGGTAGGCTTATAACTGCAGGGACATTTGTTTATAGTTTTGGACGGGACGATCCGATTGGATCGGAAGATATTACTCGCACAAAGATTGATTCTATGTATGTATGGATGTATGTATGTAGTTTATGTATAAAGAACCCTTGTATAATATCTTGTATAATACCTTGTATGTAGGTAGCTTACCATTCTGTAGCGGGACATTATAAGAGTCACCCCGGTTAACTAGCCCTTTTTTAAAATAAAAACGGGAACAAAAAGGTTACATACCCTAACCTACTTCAATTATGAATGATCACGGTGTTAAGTTACCGTTTTTATATAATATAGTTACTGTATGATATAGTACAAATATGAAATTCGTACCTTTTTTGGGTCAAGTAAATGGTCCTCTCACCCGGAGATGCTTAAGGAACAGGGGGAGGTAAGGATATGTATGTTCCCCATAAAAGCCACATTACAGGGATATAACCTAGACATATCCAATCAAAACATAATATAAATAAAGTGTATGCCCTATAAGGAATCTTCATTCCGTCTTAAACCAATCGGACTTTTTGTATTTTTTTTAAGGGTTTAGTTATGTGCCTCACTCGCGCTTCGGGTGATAATGCACTAGCATCTACTGCTGCAACTACTGCATCAACGCTCCATTCGCCCAGAGGAACCTTGTAAATGACCTTACGACCCTGCAACCTTACGACCTTGCTACCTTACTTACACCTTACAAGACCTTGTAATGACCTTGCATATCTCAATGCCCACAGACAAAAAGTCTCTACTTTTTAGGGTAGCAAATAAGGAAGGTCCGGTCCATTTTTATAGGGCATCACATATGCGAATTAAGCAATTATCATACCACTTATATGGAAACATCATTTTCAAAAGAAAACTAATTACTACTTTATATAGTTAATTAATTAGTTAAGGTAACTATCTAGGTAGTTAACTATTCTTTATACAGTTTACTTTGAAATCCACCCCCAACACTGCCAAGCACGCAGCTCCTCTTCATACGCAAAGTCTTTCCTAATATTACTTACCAGGTTCTTACTTACCCATAAGCAACTTATGCATGCAAATTGCCCAACAACAATTGGTGCTTACGACCATATTCCCTTGTCAGCATCGAAAGGCAAGGAGGCTCACCAAGTCATCGAGATTCACGTGGTTCGTTGACTCAGACTCCACTGAAATCCCGATCTAGAGATTGTTTGCAAATATCCGGCTCGCCCCGACATTGGTGTCCAGTGTCCTGTAATTTTATCTGTCGGGAGTAAACTCTGCCAACCCGCTCGACCAGCACCGAAAATATGTGCCCAAGCCTATTTCTTCGGCTAGTGGGAACCGAAACATGCCCAGATGCAGCGAAAATCCTCGATACCTAAAGGTTCACCCATTGAATCCATCGTTAACGATAGCTTCCTTTCTTGACCCTCGCAGTAACCCGTCTCGGTCGTTCCACCGCATCCAAGATCGTGCCAATACGCCCCGACCCGAGATTCGAACAGTCATACCGTCCCGCCTTTCCAGTGACCACTGATTTATATTGCTTATATGGATATATTTTCTATTATCACGGCATATCATCACAGCATATTATCACAGGATAAGTCTTACAGGAACAACTCATAGTGAGTTGTATACCTCAAAATTCTAGTTAACTACTTACCTACCGACATAATGCAATGATCATTTAGTGCTGATAGTTTCTTTCGTAAGCATCATAGTAACACTTCGGAAGATTCGGCAGAGATCGCCCAACCAGGTCGAATAATAGACGGGAAGCACAAGTCCCTCTTGATTACGAAGGAATAGCGTACATACATGAGGAATCGCTAGAAAACAGGCGATATCGCTTGTCAGAAAAGGTCTCACGTGACTAGGCTGACAAGAGTCTGCTGCTATTCGAATTACCTATGGACGACCATCAGACGGAATATCTCCTTTGAGATATTGCATAATGTAACCGTGGGGAACTACTGAGGTTGTAAAGCCAAGTTCAATAACTGATAAACTCCCGATTCTCTCAACACTAGCAACAGCTCATAGGCTCTGATACGAAATTTTGAGACGCTGCTACTTGGTCAGCCCCCAGAAAAAGGAGCGCTACGACGGATACTGCGATGTGACCGAGCAGTGGGAAGGCAACCAGGTTTTTTCGCAAGGAATCACGAACCTAACTTAATCCGGACTACTGGCGTATATGCATGTAACTAAGGTTCTTATCCAGGTATCTCAGTGGCTCACGGCGGCTTTCCCTACACCAGCCGTAGCGTGAACGAAACACGCAAAGTACGACGTGGATTGGCCCCACCTAATCATGGGTCGACAAGCCTAGATATCCCTTTCGCAGGTGAATTTGAGGAAAGCACATGATTGAGCAGTTCTTGATAACCCTTCTATGACTATATTGCCGGCAGATCGTACGGGGAAGCAGTGGCGACGAGCATCTGCGAGTACATACGTAGACCCCTGAAAGTATCAAGAAGCCTTGTCTGTCCTAAAAGCATCGAGATGGCTGGATCAAAAGAGTAACGTGGATGTATCTCCATAGTCCCACATTAGGCCATGTTGTTAGTTCTTCGCGAGACGACGTTAGTTTTCTCGGTTCATGACGGAGCGAGCTAGAGATATCAATTTCCAGTCGTGAAGTAATTATGCATGAGTTCGCTGTACGTACCTATTTTACATATAGGGCGTAGCCTGTTGTTAGAACCGGATGACGTGAGTGCATTTACATTCGATAGGTTAGTAAACTTATATCCTCGGTATTGTCATATATCATAGATATCTGGAACTGGTTCATTGAGAAGATATTGCGATATAACAAGTTTAATCCACTTATTACGCAAAATAGATATAGGGTAGGAGGTCATTCTTCATCTAGTCGGAAAAGCTACTATATAGAAAGAAGGAAAAAGAAAAAAGACCGACATATAGGTACTTATTAACTAGAGGATATTTTGACTTTCTGCTTCCAATCATAATAACTAAAATGAGTGACTATCGATAGTTGATATTCGATGATATACTAGAATTCTTTTGAGTAGTAATAGCTACCTGCCTAGTGAAATACTGTTGTTTTACTGTAAGAGCATTTAGGACAGATTCATAAATAAATGAACACTTAGTAAACTATAGAGAGACCTTCACTAAACCCAGCTAAAGCCGAAGATATACAATGTAACGGCTAATGGGAACAGAAGTGCAATTAATTAAACGCAGAGTTATGCAAGAAGTTAAGAAGTCTTTCGTATACAGCTTATCAAACCTAGCCCAATATTACAATACCTTTAAGGGATACCTTAGGTAGTCTATAAATACCAATCCCGGTATAGAGGGTACTGAATATTTACAACTCATCAAATGCAAGTCTAAAGGCCCTAGAATATTCCCCTAAAGTCTCGGTCGTTACGTATAAACACAAATGTATAAAAAGAGGTACATAGTGTTGAGTATGCAATGCAAGTTTATATTGGTCTATAAGTTCCCTCAGCTAGTATATCCGGTTCCTGACCGGTGACCTCGGAAACGGACAATGGGCCGGCCCATCCCATCATGACAGTTCTCAGAATCGCCGAGTTCTTCTAATTCCGTTTTCGCAACCCTTTCTATGCCTATGACAAATGCCCCCAGCGACAAGAGAAAATGAATATATGCGGGTTGTGCGTCCCCCTCAGCACTGCTTGCCAACCAATAATATGTACAAGTAAATCGCATCGTAGACACCATCTAGGCAAGTATATCCGGCCGTTTAGGCGTACTCCCAAGTAACCTGGACGCGTCCCGCATCCAAACTTTCAAGCTGCTCGAAGACAGAGGGGGACACGTCAATGCTGTCGCCAGCACAGCCAGGGCATTTGTCCACAACCGTGGCACTGACGGTCTTGCCGTTGTAGTTGATGTTGATTGTCCTTCCACAGTTTCCGTCCTGGCTGGGGGACATGGCGACAACGGCTTCGCTCTCCGTGTTGTAGTTACCGCATGCGCCAAGGCCTGGGGCATAGTACGTCATGTCGCCGGAGAAGGCAACGGATGGGGCAACAAGGGCACCCAGAGCAAGGACGACTTTGGCGACGGTGTACATTGTGGATAAGACTAAGTGTTATGTCTTGTGAGTTGGTATTATGGGTCGGTTGACAGTTATGTCTCGATGTAGAGTCAAGGAATGAATGGCTAGTTGCTGGCAACTCTTGGTGGTCCTGCCTGGAGTAGAAGAAAAGAATGTGATGGTACTGATGGTAATGATTGTGTTGATGATGAGGCTCTTCATTCAAAGAAATAGAGGCGGCACTGAGGGTTTAAATAACTTTCCAGCTAAGCTTACATTATTATTCTGTGTCATCATTAACTGGTTACTTATTCAGCGTACTTCCATGTTTAGCTATCATTTTGCATTCAAGTAATTACATCCAAACACCTCAGACGTTTGCTAGCTACGACAGGGGCATTATGGTAGGACAGCAACGTTGAGTTACTGTATTGTAAATTAAGGTCGTTCAAACCAGGGGTCCTAGCCAACTCACTGTCAGGCAAGCTCATTAATGTGAGGAAATCGAGGGCATAGAAGGGTCTGAGTAGTTGACGACATCACCTATGTTGTTGCATGGAAAGCTTCCGATCTAGGCAGGTACATGTGCACGGCTTACAATCCGGGGCCGCACATGGGGTATCTATTTTAAGCCGCTAAGATGATGAGCATACATAAGGCGATACGAAGTAGTGGGAACTACGAGATAAACAGAAATTGTCGTAGGGTATAGTTGAATATTAGGTATTTATGAAGAAGAAAAAAAATATATATATTAAGTCTTCTTAATTTTATATAAACAATCAACAGGTTTTTTTTTTTTAATTCCGATGGCAAGTAAGGGTGAATAAAAAAGAACCCCAAAGTCAATGCAAACTCACTAGCGAAAACAAAAGAAGCTTCATTAAGCGTGAAAGGGATTGTTTGTATCTCATCAGACTGTTTCTAAAGTCTTAAACAATTTCGATTGGATGAGCAGGGTCAAATCCTGCCGTGTTCGGGGGAATACGTACTAAGCCACATGCGCGGGAATACCGAGCTAACTTCATTTAAATACATTTCCCCCTTTAAGAAGCTAGTTCCCGTTCATTGCAAGGGTTAAAAAAGCTTGATCGTGAGATTATAATTGATTGCGCCACGTTCTCCTCAAAGCCGTGGTACAACAAAATAAGCATCGGATTCGAATGCTTGGCGATCTGCACTCGTTTACTTTAATATATTGTTGCAGAGTTAGTGTTCCACGTAACAACCTAGTTTCATGTAGGGACGATTGTAAAGAGCTTAATATATCCTACGATGGAGTTTCTCTCGTTCCGTCACCGAACTCAATTCGACATTATTACTAGGTACTATCTAATAAGTAAAATTATGTAACGCACCTAGTGAATATTTAATTACGTCCAATGATACTTGACTCGTAAACTGATTGCTAACTAACTATATAAATGGAGGAAATGTTGTTAGATTAAAAGTTATCTGATTAAATAAGTAAATGCATTTCCACTGCATTAGTGGCGGCTGATACCTTTTTCACCCTATCATACTATTCCCTTAAAGCCATTTTTTATTTCAGAGATGATCCTCGAAAAGTTCGATTGAAACGATACATATGCCGTGGTACGTTTATTAGCGTTGAAAGGATTTGTATCTTACTGCAGCAAAAACAGGCAATGTAGCATGATTCATAATATGCCGAATTATCAAGAAAAAAAAAGAAACCTTTGGTTGATTTAGAAGGGCGTTTTCTAGAGCTAATAGACAGAGATCTTGATTTTCCCTTTCTAAGTCTTTGTTGCTCAATGTATAATTCATACTCTAAAACCCTCTTTTTAATTGCGACCGCAGTGCACCACGAAAGGTACTCGCCAGATAATCGTAGCGAAATGCACCTGTTACGTAGGTAACCATAAAAAATACTCGTTATTAGTGGTAATACTCCTACAAGGCCTTTTTACAATAATGTCAAATAATAGTAACTACTATCGAGTGGATAGAGTCATTAGGTTAGGCACCTAGAGTAGCCTTGGCGGCTGACAACACTAACCAAATTTGCGGCTGAAAACTAGGACTTACTCCTAATGTCAATGTTGCCTAATGTGGACTGTGTTCCAATACATTGGAAGACATATTCTTTAACAACTATCAGACTGTCAGGATAGCTGTGATTAAACAGCAACTTGTTCGAAGAAACAGTCTTTGATAGTTTCATGTGTAGCTGTCTATAATAATCATCATCGGGCGCATATGATTTAATCTACAAACCAGTCAGCAACTCGACACAGCGACAGCTTATTTCCAATCGATCCAAGTTTTCTATCTCAAAGAATATTTTAAGACTCATCTACACATTCAACACAATGTCTTCAGGGCTTCCCGAAAAACCGACTATGGAGTCATTAGGCCTTCGAGAGTCTGGGCTCTATTTTCCTACCACTGCAAACAGAGTCGTCAACTTTCCTCCAGATGTGATACGACAAGACGCCTTGGATACGCGAATTGTCGTACACGGCCGCTTTCCTGAACTAGTTGAACGATTTCTGGCTCATAAGCGCACACACGGAAGCTCTCTAGAAAAGCGGCTATATGGTCCTGATTGGACCTGGCCGCAACAAGTAACGAGACTTATAGAGAAGCGACCCCTATCTTTTGTCGGTGGAAACGACTCAACTCTACTACGTACCGGGCAATCATTCCAGATGGGAACCAAGTTTTGGGATTCCATAGGTGCTGAAGGTACACCTTACCAGAGCCTAGAAGAATACTTGACCTACGATGAGATCATGCTTGGCAGCTTGATCGGAGTCAGCAGTCCGAGTTACTTTATTAATGATGGCGCCCGGTATAACAATGGAAGGCCCCAGGACGATGGAACATTTGAGTCTAGGGGGATCATCATCGGATTAGTTGGGCCGCGATTTGAGCGCCCACAGCACATGGACTCTAACCTCATTCTAGATGGTGTGGTAACGAGACAACAACATCCTGAACTCACCAATATATTTTTGGATTTCCTTGGCGTAGGAGAAAGATCGGAGTTGCATACGGATAGGTTCTCTATACCAGCCTATATCGCGCGTATACGTATTAGTGCCGAGATTCTGCTTCTAGAAGCAAATGAACGCGCGCTGGCCGTAGGCCGAAAGGCGTATGTCTACATCGTAGGCCTCGGCCTCGGTGTATGGGCATACAATTCGCTGCAGCCCGATTTATTCGTAAACGCTTTCCAAGAGTCATTATTGGTTCTAGGACAGAAGCTTACTCATATCGGAACACTTGAATTCGCATGGATTCCAGTGTCAATGGAAACCCAGGAACATTTAGCCGGTGCCGCATTGCCACTGGGCATAGCTGCTAGATTCTCAAGGCGCAATCCAGCTCAAAAGTTGGAAGACCACAGAGCAGACCAGCTTCTTGTCTTATCTTACGCGTGGGATGGTAATTCGTTCCCTGGCAACGAATACTGGGAGGGAAGTCTAAGTGCTAGTGGTGATCCTGCAGCGGCATGTATGAGTACAATCCCTGAACTACATAACCCCTTGGTCAACCCGGACTTCACCAAGCGAATCTTTGTGGTAGACAGCTCGGAAAATTAAGAGAAACAGCGATTTATACTGGACCTGATACGGGGGTTCTGGTACTCTAGGAACATACTTTAATATTAGAAGAGCATAAAATTAGAAGATTCATATAGTTCCATAGCTCTATAAACTCATACCTAATACCTACTCTTTCATAAGGGAACAATCTTTATAAGATCGGAATGAATTCAAAGTTATGAAAACCCTCATAGATCTAGTTCAGAAAACCTAGACGCTTCTATAAAAACCTATTGCAAAGATAGAGAGGCACTTACCATGAGTAGTATCTTCTTGGATGTATGAAATATAGATTTATTAGCTGTATTACCTTTCCAATTACCTTGTGACATCTGTATGAATCATGACTCCTGCATCGACATGCATTTTATTGCCTACACCTATTGTATACCTATAACTCAATGTTTTGAATGATGTATATTGACGACAGTCCCCACCCCCGAAGGAATTCGACGGGGTACTTTACAGCCGCCTGCATCATGCATATACTATAGACATGCAGCCTCTATACCAACTATAGTACTAACTATACTCATAGCATTGTATACTCAGACTAGGGCTGCCCGATGGCACCGATGACATTGGACAGGGACGAAAGTGCATGTCCACATGAGAAAATCACTTAAGAGACTTCTTGTCGCCAAGTTCGCGTAAAAATATCCATCGATTGGCATGGAGACTTACATGTAATCTGTGGAACTGCACCTAAGGTTAGGCACGTTGAAAGGACCAACCAATTTGCCTGAGTTGCGTGATGGAGAAGTTTCCCTGGAAAGGCGGACGCGGTACCATGCAAGCCATCTCTGACGGCTTTCTACGATGCATGATACCAATGTCAGACCGAATCTGCCAAGTAAACATATCTGTATTACTTGACCCCTTTCCCGGTGAGTGAACGATGTGTGGGACCTTCGACGGTATGAGGATGTATTACAATGTGTGGCTTTTGCCCAGCCTTTCCTATTAATAAGAGCTTACTGTAAAACGACTCCGGGGTAGCAGGAAAAGTTAGGTAAACCATATATATTACGCCGATAGGTTGTAATTTGCATCGTCCCACGTATTACTATATATTAGAAGATACAAAGGCTTTAAATCGGGGACAACCCCGCAAACGTTGCCAATGGAAGAATGAAGTTTAGAATTATTTAGTGTTCGGCGATCTTCGGGAACGGGGAAACATAAGAAAACATTCGATTCAGCTGTCAGGGCTGACGAGCGGGGGGAAGGAATGGGGATAATGAAATCTGGGGAAGCGTGGGTAAGGAACACCGGAAAAAGGGGGGGACGAAGGGGATGAGGAATAATGTGCCTCGGATCGGCGATGGATCGAATCGCTTTTATCTTATCTCTTTTTTTCGGTTTTGTAGGTTGCATAGACCGGAGTACCGCTATGACCGATATTGTTCATGAATAAGAAGCGCTTAACTTAGGGCGATAAACAACTAAAAAGTCGCTGTCATTAGGCGCAAATGACTTATTCGGAATTCCCTTTGGTGCTGTAGCTAACCGGAAGCGAAAGGGGGGAAAGAACCTATCAAAACCCCTCCATTTGCAAAATGAAAACCCCACTAAGCCATTCTTACCCCACCTGACTAGCGGTTGGTGCAATAACATTACTCATGTTACCCGGGATTGGCCGAGGGGTTGTTACTTGGCTAACAAGCCACTGACCTTCAAGTATGTGCCTCGACGTCAGGATTTTGAACCTTTTACCTCGCACACACAACTTGATGACAATACAATTTCGGCGTACACATGTCAACACCACACTTTTAAAAAAAATTTAGAATAAATTATTTAATTTGTCGTTGATTTGCGATAGAATAGTTTTCTTTTATTGAAGAACTGACTACCTCATTTTATTACCATTTACGGATAACTAAACTCCTCTTGGCTGATCCGACACGCACATTACTACGATAGATTGCGTTTATTTTCACCGATCCTCGGCTTCACCATCAGCGCTGGTCGCCTTAGCCTACGGCACCTTTTTCCGCATAGCGACTTCTACACTGTGATATCGATCATCACGTACTTCCCGTTTATCCATATCCAGAATCCTTGTTGCTTGCTCTCTTCCCGCCTATCGCCAAGATGCCTTCGTCTCAACGCCCGTTCTTCCTATCTTCTTTCCTCGCCGCCTTCCGACAACAGACACCGCCAGCCCTATCAGCAACGTCACAACCTAACAAACACACCTCACAGCCTGCATCAGGTTCATCGCCTTCGGGGGCGCGATCGATGTCGTCAACATCCCATACTCAGGCCCAATCACCATCACAACAACAATCTCAACAGCGAACAGGGGGTGTCATGAATCAACTACCCTTGCAGTCGCCACCTCGACATCATCACTCCCCACAACCACATCGCCCAGGCATGCCTATCCCGGCTCCCGGCCGTCGGCGAGGTAGTGACAGTAGTAGTGAGGGTTTCCGCGATGTACTTGGTGCTGATAAGTGGTACATCGGAGGTCGGACAGCTGGCGGTGATGAGCGATTCTTTAAGTTAGGTGTTGTAAAACGGGTACGGAGTCAAGATCGCTTGAGTTTAGACAGGTTAAGTCTATGATTACCCACCAAACAGTTCACCACCGAAACCGGGCCGAATTATGGTTAGGGATGGGACGATGGCGAACTCATAATTTACATATCTGTCTATCTCAATACTGAACGTACTTAGTGGACTGCCTACTTGCGAGGACTCATGGCAGGGAAGGGTAAACATATGGAATATACGGTATAAATCATGATTGCCCTCATCAAGGCATTTAAAGGAAGGGTGGATAAGGGTCAAGGCCATGCAAATTTGCATTAGGGAATTGATGGATACTGTATATGGCACAGCACGGCACGGCGTTGAGAGTTTGCTATTTAGGAACGGCGTTTAGGCGGCCTGGATACATGGTTCAAAGCATGCATGCTAAAGACCAAGAGAAAAGAAGAGAATTAAGAGAAAGAAAATAATTCGACATTACCGGCTTGAAAACCGGACATCACCATCTCACCTCATCACACAACGACACGCCATCCTATATGAAATTGACGCATTAAGCGACGACAAGAAGAATCTGACATTCGCTGTATAGTATGCGAATATAGTATTGGAAAAGAGGACATATATCTACTTCGGGAGAATTCCCAATACCATTAGATGAATACTAAAAGTACAAATTCGGATGGCAACATTTTGATCATTCTTTCATTTTGGACGTGAGAATACTTTAGTTGCAAATGACTGCAATCACAGGTCTATCTATGTACTAGCTACGGAAAATGCAAGAATTGCGTCCGACTAATAGTTATTAAAAACCAGGTAGAATTACCACATAAATCTTTGTACATTCCCGCCGTCTAGCAACTCACCGTCTGGCCCTCGCCAATAAAACGGCCGAGTGATGAATATGTACATAGTTGCTACGTTGATTAGCAGAAACCACACTGTCTCAAGGAGAGGCACAAGGTGCTGAGAGATCAATGAAGTTGACCCTAACTTTGGGAAGGTAGGTCGTGTTGGAATGAGTAAGCGCCAGAATACCCACGGTAGGATGAAATAACGCGGCTCGACTAGCGGTGCCGTTACGAGGGAGAAAGTGGCTGCGAGGAGAATCAGCGCGGTTGATGTAGACGGTGGTATTGCCGCCGCATCCGCCGTTGTAAGAGTTACGTTTGGCGACTTTTTGTCAGTCGGAGGTGGTGATAAGGACAAGGCCTCGTTACTGAATGGTGTTAGTATCCACTGGCGCTTCTGAGCAGGTAGTGTGGTTGAGAGGCTGCCTTGCAGAGCGGCCCAGCATAGCCAACCACAGATTACGTAGACCGGGACGAGGGCATATCTTATCCACCATGATCTCAAGATCGTGTATCGGAAGATGTAGAACATGAAGTGCCTATTGTCGGCTAGTGTGAATGGATGGACAATAGTGTTGTATCGCACGATTAAGGTGGTGATCACTAAAGCACCGGCGAGGATAAGGACGGAATGTAGTGTATGGCTCGATCCGATGTGGTTGAATGCTTTTAGGACTGCGGACTGATCAGGCTTACTCTTAGAAACAGAGGGTTTCTTCGAGTGTAAGTCTGATTTAGTTGAACCAGTGATGATTTGGAGAACATATATAGCCAGACCTATAAGCGATGGGATAAAAAGAGGCGCCGAGAAGAACGCAAATAGGGGCCATATATATAGCATCTGGGCTAAGTGTAGAGTTGCCACGTGATTGGATTTATCCCCTATTCACAGTCAATAATCAATTCTCTTAAAAAGACGACTCTACTGAGTCAACTTACCTAGCACAACGCCGCCGTTCCAGATAACAAACCCAACGAATGCCCCAAGGACTATAAGGTGAGGCCAGATCTGCCTACGTATAATAGTCCCGAGGTTACAGATTGAAGCTATGCCAATACTGACGGCGGAAAGGACCAGGTCTACTTATTTAGTTAGAGTAATTGTCTAGGGAGTGGTTGGAGACTTACCAATTGGGTGTGCTAGGTTCAGGGGCGGATCGTGGATATCGCCAAGGGAGTACCTCCAAACGTAAAAACTGATCTGTTCCGACAGCGTCTGAAATTTTGGTGCAGCTATGCTTTCCGGGCAGAGAGTCTTGATGACGTGAACGACTTCTAAGCCACCCATGTATACTACGACCCAGAAGATGTTGGTCTGCCTCACGCTCAGCGCCAGGAGTCCGAGGAAGATCGTACGAATGTTACTTGCTGTGGACGGTTTATCTGAATACATCCGGCTTAGGTGGTTGATGTAGGCAAGTAGTACGGTAAACGTGGAGAGGACGTCTGTGTAGTACAAGCCTGAAAAGAAGAATAGGACAGGGAACAGGGTGACATTGATTCCTGTCCAGAAGGAATCTACCGAGTACGGACTTGAAGCTCGCGCATCGCTTGCTATCCTTAGCTGTCCCAGCTGAGCTCTAGATACGATGACAGCTACAGCTAGATAAGAGATAATCTTTACGTTGAACTCCCGGAGAATATATACTGAACACGAAAGCCTTGATAGTCTAATTCCTAGGATAGTCGAAATGTAGCTTTACGCCGTCAGTTGTGAGAGTAGCCAAGGGAAAATGTGATTTGAACTGACAGTCCAGGAGGGGTAGTGATCTTGTCATCCCACACGCCGAATTTGCCATCACAGTAAACCTGTGCTTGGGGGATATGAAACACTTCATCCTAATAATGTATTAGATCTTAATATGTCTAGGTAGTTATAGCGAATTTAAAAGTATTAGTTTATTGTATACATACCAAATACGGGTTCGAGGCATGTTTGGTAACGAATGATAGCCAGGCATGACCAAGGAACTGAATAGTTATCAAAGATAGGAATATTCCTAGCCCTGTGCGAGGAGATGCGATCTTATGGATGGCGTAGATATATGTGGCCGTGGCAATGAGGCTGTAACCGGCCAGCTGGGAGACCCAAGAGGAACTTGGCTCCAACCAGGGAGTCATTATCGTGTTCAGGAACTAGGGAAATAAATAGGGGGTTAAAGAAGAAATAAAAAGTCTATTTCAAGTTGAAGCATATTTAGTAACTAGCAGATCTAAGATAATTGATTTATTGTCGATTTAGTTTTAGGATATGCGTTTCGCACGTGGTATTCATCAATTTATAATTTTAGAAGCAAATTTAACATGCCAAATAACAAATAATTCAATTGAGCAACAACTGACAGATCTTTAGACGTTCCACCCCTGCCAACTTTAATAGACTGGTACATGCATTTCGTACTTTGTAGATCCATCTATTCCGTATAGTGGGCCTTACTCTGATTGGGTAAAAAGTGATGCTTGCCAAGAACTAAAGTTTCCAAAGCTTTACACGTTCCATTGATTTACACAATTTACACAACACCAAGTTTTAATATCTCGGTCTTTGATATATCCAATATCAAATTATACCGTAAGAACAAGCCATTGAGGGCTATTATGCCCATCACAAAGCCTTCGCGATGGCATCTTCTCATCGAATAGCTCGGCGCTTCCTCAGCTCACTGGCCAACCCGCTATCTTCCTCTAGACGATCTCCCGCTCAGCTTCGTACCCGAATCGCTACCCGTAATGCCTCAACCTCCACAAACTCACCACCCACGTCCCGGTTAAAAACTGCATTCTATATGACGTCTATAGCTGTATCCGGCTATGTTGTCTACGTTTATGGCACCGATACTCGCGCTTTCGTCCACCGTTATGTTGTACCCCCGCTGCTCCGCTATCTCTACCCGGACGCCGAGGAGGCTCACGACGTTTCTGTCTCCTCTATGAAAACGCTATATAACCTAGGCCTTCACCCGCGCGAGCGCTCTAGCTCATCCATCTCTAATGGTCCGGATATTAGTGTATCTGTCTTCGGAGAGCAACTGGCAAACCCTATTGGTATCTCTGCGGGCCTCGACAAGCATGCTGATATCCCGGACCCGCTGTTTGCCCTTGGTGCCTCTATCGTTGAGGTTGGTGGTTGCACGCCGCGACCACAGGAGGGTAACCCCAAACCGCGCATGTTTAGAATCCCTACACTAGACGGTCTGATAAATCGGTATGGACTAAATTCGCGTGGCGCTGACGATATGGCTATGCGGTTACGAGATCGGGTTAGGCTATATGCTAAGACAGTTGGGTTGGACGAAGCAAGTGTATTGAACGGCGAGGCCAATGTTCCTCCGGGTAGCCTGTTGCCTGGACGCTTGTTATTAGTGCAGATTGCTAAGAACAAGGAGACGGACGAACGTGACGTGGAAGCCGTGAAGCGGGACTACGTATACTGTGTGCAACGGCTGGCACGGTACGCGGATGTGCTTGTTGTTAACGTGAGCAGCCCGAACACGCCAGGCCTACGCGACTTGCAGGCCGTGGAACCCCTTACACGGATCTTAAGTGCGGTAGTCGACGAGGCGCGGCGGACGGATAGGAAACGGGCACCTAGGGTCATGGTCAAAGTCTCGCCGGATGAGGACGAAGATACTCAGATGGAAGGCATTGCGCAGGCGGTGTGGTTGAGTGGTGTCGACGGGGTCATCGTGGGTAATACCACGAAGCGCCGGAATGGACTGGTCCCAGCTGGGGTGAACATATCACGTAAAGAGCAATATACTATGACAGAAACAGGTGGTTACTCGGGCCCGATGATGTTTGACCGAACTGTCGACTTGGTAAGACGGTACCGGAAATTGCTAGACGGCCAATCCTTCCAGCCTGCCAAGACGGGCAAGGCTTTTGCTAACGAGGCGGTTGATGAGAGTATAACGGGAATTGAAGGAACTATCACCGGATTCTCTGAAACAGAGAAGAAAACTAGCACCAACCAGCCGCAAGAACAAAAGGTCATATTTGCTACGGGAGGGATCACAAATGGGCGGAGAGCTCTGGAGATTTTGAATGCTGGCGCGAGTGTTGCCATGATCTATACCGGTCTTGTTTACGGAGGTGCTGGATCCGTTACGCGCATGAAGAGCGAGATGAAGGAAGAGTTGGCTGCAGAAAATAAGTCATAAATACAAGAAAAGGGGATTTGTGGATGGGATGACTTGTTTTAAAAAGACTATTGTATCACCACTACACGTATTAGACAGAAAATTAGATGAGGTTGGTCGACAGTGAGCACTGTGTAAAATAGAACTACGTCGAATACAAAAAGGTAAGGGCGGGGTGTCTAAAGACTCAATGAGAGATCTATTTGGATGTCATTTTGTACAGAAGTTCGCAGTATGAGCTCTATTCTAGCGTCGCGCTCCCTTATCTGTCTAGTAAAAAACCACCAGCACGATGCAAGTTTAGAAGGGCTAAATATGATGGATTAGCAAAGCTTGATTTAAGAGAAAGGGGCCGTGACAGCAACTCACGTTGTCTGATGCGGGAACCTCATTGATGTAGTGGCTACCGATGAAGGGGATTTTTTGTAGGATGTCCTTCTTTACTTTAGGGATGCCGGAGGCGTAGAAGATGACGGCAAAGAGGGCTACGCCACCAAAAGCGCCGGCCTTGAACCCGCTGTAAGTTGGTCCGTTAGCATACTACTATCGACAAATATGAAGTTGTTTAAGCCTGCGCAGATGGCATGTACGCTTTGCTAGGGGTCTCTGGATCGGCTGAGAGTGAAAGTAAACGGGTTGCTTACAGGCTGCCGATCTGCTTAAACGTCCATCCTGCAACGTTCGGTTGGTAGTGGTACCTTTCGTTCGTTCATCCGTTAGCTAGGGTTCGAATAGCTTTTAATGTTCCATCCTCTGATGCAATTTTCCCCATCCACGTAGCTCGCATCACCGATACCACATCCGAGCCGGATACCATGTATTCCGCCAACAAACAATCGGGTGCGCACTCACTTAGGTCCGTAGGGGCTCTTGTAGGAGGGATACGCCTGTCGAATAGGAGTCTATAGTCCCGCTAGGTTAGCAAAACCTCTAGCAAAAATTCACACACGAGCTTCGAGGGTAAGGATGCATAATGCATGAACAATTAACACCGAATATATTGGAGACTGGTGTATATCTTACCTGGAACACCATCTTGACTTAGAGCCGAAGAGTATATCGACGCGGAGACTCAATGGCAAGTAAATTGACTTTTGATTGTGATATGATTTTTGGTGACAGCTTCAACTTCAGTTCCGGTTTTCGATGGAAGCTGCGCGACATTCTTCGGCTGACATTTCGGAGGATTCCGGTTGGCAGCCATGTTTGTCAGCCACAGAAATGCATAAGCCACAATGTCCACAGCGCAGGTACTATTTTGATAGATCTTTTAATTGCATTTAGGTGTTCAATAGGTACGTTAGGTACTTCGTACCTTGCATATTATGGGAACTTAGCTCTAATCGCAAAGTGAATGTCGAAAGCTTCAATCTTTCAACTTTTTTTCTCTATACTTATTTCTTGGTCCCAATATAACACGTTATCTGAACGCAGAATGGATAAGCAGCTCGACGTATGCTTCGACCGCGTCGAGAAGGCATTGGGTACGCTGGTCGATTCTATTGCCAAGTATCATCCCTCCGTCGCCCAAGTTAACGAATTGGGGCTCGCCGACGTTGAGCTCAACAAGGGCCTTGAGGATTGTATGTTCTTCTTTCAACTATCCCCCCCCCCCCGGATCATAATTGGATAGGAACTGATTTATATGCCTCCCAGTACAAACCCACCAATCTAACTATCGAAGGATTCAGGATCTACGAGCAGCGACAACTAGTTTTGATACTCAGATCAAAGAAACATTGCGCCTACTAGCCAACACGCGAAAGGAACTTGTCAATGCTCCTGCCACCGTATTCCCGTCCGACCGCCCCAGCTACGATATCGACTACGACGAACTACTCGCCTACGCTAGCCGGATTAGCAAAACTACTATCCCCCCCGGCGGTGCAGCGAACAGCCTTTCGACCGAACCCAAAGTCGAGAATAGTGGAGGACCTGGGACAGAAACGGCTGCTACAACACCAGCGGGAGGGACACCCAACGGCGCCCCAGCTGGTGCCGTGACACCTGCGAATACGAATGGAGCGCAACAGCAAGACCCTACACCGCAGTCGCAGCAGCTCACCACCACAGGTAGCGGCGATGCGATGGTCGCACAAGAAGAGCTACCCTGGAAGCTGAACCCATTCAGCGACGTCGAATTCGTGCCGTGGCCAAGCGAGGAGTCCGTACGCAAAGGAGCGCTAGTTACCCTAGCCTTCCTCTCGGAGAAAGGCATCAACCCGGAGAACTACGACCCCGAGGAAGAAAAAGCGCGCAAGGAGCGCGAAAAGGAAGAACAGCAAGCGGCAGAAGAACGAGAGAGGCAAGAGCGCGAGGAGAGGGAGCGCAGGGCCAGAGAGGAGCAAGCACGGCTGCGGGCCGAACGCGAGAAAGAGCAGAGGGAGGCGTGGCGGCGCGCGAGCGTTACTGGGGGTGCGGGACCGAGTCAATCGTCGCCGGTGGGAGAGAAGAAGCAGTTCCAGTTTATGGCCGATGATGACGAGGATGATGACGAGTAAAGCATTCGCTAGCAAATCGGTAAGGGTGCGTATTGCTACAAGGCAATGCGAAGCACAGGGGTTTTATGATGTCTAGCATGGTACGCATATGGCCCATATGCCTTGATTGAATAGTTAGAGTTATTCTTAATTACCATCATCGACAACACAGCCATATTCTATTACGGGATTCCGTAGCCAGTTACCCTGGGCAGTATAATCGGCGTTAATACCACCTATGGAATAACAAGTGATCTAGGAAACTAGTCAGGCTTCTCAGGTCTACCATTTAAAATGGTCATCTACCCAGGTAGTTGTCTCAAATCTTATAATAGCGTATTAAAATCTATCAAATTGACTCGAGTTGATCGACGTACATTTCTAGTAGGACCCGCAATCAGTATGAGCTTCCCCCCTAGAAGTACGGTACCGCCGACGGACCGGCCCCACTTCGGGTTCCGGAGGTTTCAAGGTTCTCATCTCGCAGAGGGTCTTCACGCGAATATGAGGGTTTTATAGCGGCCGCGTAAGGGGGAGGAATTATCACATTAATAATAGCATTAAACTCAAGACATCGCGTAAGTAGACTTTTATTCATAATTTTCTAATACGTACCCAGATACCTAGAAAGGTTCCCACGTTCGTTTTGTGCCTATCTGGTCCGCCGGGACCAGACTAGACAAATTTTCTTCTATTCTACAGGTTTCGTGTAAGCCTCTTCTGAACCTGGAAGAACGCCTCCTAAAACGCCAGGCCCTTCGGAACTCGCAGGCCACATTTATGCAACTCGTTAAATTCCATCCCACCTCGTGAAACTGGACTGCGAAGACGGCGTGTGGAAAAAAAAGATGTTGGTCGTACATTTCGTATAGTACATATTTTTCGATTACTCCGAGTCGCTCTCCTTTGCGACTCTCCTTCTGTCCGCCCCTCGTAGCTTGTGCTGTTTAGTCGATCTTGATAGAGCGGTATATCTTATTAACGAACCACCAACTGGAGAAAAACCCAATGGACCCTAAAGTACAAAATTAGTATAGTTCATGAGGATATTCATAATGCAAGTACATACCTGTTAAGATAAAGAAAAGGAAGGAAAGAAGAGCGCTATATCCGATATACAAGACAGTGCCAGATAAGCCACCCAGAGACAACTTGCTGATTAAGTATATCAGGGCGTTAGCAAAGATATAACCCGCGCTCATACCCGCAGCCAGGAAAGATCGCCACTGCCAGTGGTAGTTCTCGGCGCACAGTAAGAAGTACACCATCAGAACCGTAACCGCAGCACAAGTGATGATCATAAGACCATAGCAGAGGAAGAGGAAGCCGAACATGTAGTAGATCTTGCTAAACCAAATCGAGCTCATGATAAAGTATAGCTCGACGAAGATAGCGCCGAAAGGTAGGATACCAACCAGCAGCATACTCGGGATCGGCTTCAAATAAGTGGTGGCGGGAGGAATCTGTCGCGGGATCTGGTTGGTTCGAACAGGAGGTTCAAAAGCTACCGCACGGAATCCAAGCCAAGAGCCAGAAACCGAAAGGGGAATCGAGATTATGAACCATATACCAATGATGACTAGCATAGTGGTAAACGGGACGGCACCAGCAGCTCCATTAGCCCATAGGAACAGGTTGAGAAAGAAGAATGTTGTGAAGACGATGCCAGGAACCAAGAGAGGAGTCAGACTGATATTCAACTTCCACTTCTCGCCATTCATCGACTTGTAAACTCTCGCAGAGACATAACCCCCAACAAAGCTAAGGAGAGTGTATAGGATGATCATGATAGTTCCAAGGGAGCCACGGTTAGATGGGGATAAGAAACCTAGCAAGGCAAAACAGATAGTAAAGCCGGTCATAACGAACAGCTGAGCACCATTGCCGAGGAAGATGGAGAGGAGCAGAGGATGCGCCGGGGTTCTGAAAACATCTCCATGGACCAATTTCCAACCAGAGTCCTCCTGGACGCCATCCTCAAGATCCGCTGCGCCCGAAAAATCCTCTAGGTTGATTTGATCCAATCGGTTGTATCTCGCAATATCCTTCTTCAGAGCCCTGAATAGAACTGAGGCAACCGTAACCGTCAAGAAGATAACAACAACAGCGGAGTTGACGAGGGAGAACCAATGGATTTTAGGGTCGAAGACATGTAGATATTTATCCCATCGTGTAGCCCAGGCAGTAGGCGACTCGGTCCAGTATACGCTGTAGGTAAATGTGACTTCAGTTTGAGAGCCTTCATTTTCGAGAAGGACTACGGGTGGCGTCTGATTGTCGTTGCATTCCAGATTGTCGCCCTTGTATGCCTTGGAGGCAGGCTGAACAATTACACCCACTACCCTCAGCTGGTCGTCCTTTCCGTTGACCTTATGATATTCGACAACGATATCGTAGTGGTTATTGAAGAATGTCGGGCCGTCAGGATCAGTCGTGGAGATGGAGCCCATAGCAAAACCTGGGCTATAAAACGTGGTCCCGGTAAGGTCATCGAGAAGATGCTGTCCGGCTGGTAACCCATCCACTAGCCAGTTTAAGGCGTAACCCTGCATTATACGCTTATTTACGAAGTGCGCAGCAGCCGTGTCGTACTTCGAAGTGCATAGCTTCTTACATGTCTCATTCTTCTGCATGCTGAGGTCAAAGGGCGAAGTCATTATTCGATCGCCGAACAAAATACTTCCGAGGCTTTCGGACACGTATGATGGGCCGCCTTCGGGTTGACAGAACTGGAACATCTCGTTGTAATAGTCGTAGGACATGACGGAATGTAGAAGCGCATCTTGGCCGGCAACCGGCTTAATGCTATTCACGTAAAGGGGGACTTTATGGCCAGATTCATATGATGTAGGCGCGACGCCGGGAAGGTAGAAAGCAGTCGCAAGTTGGGGGACAGCGAGCAGCGCAGAGCAGAGCGCCCAGGACGGCGCAAAAGTTCTCGACTTCATCGTTGGTGTTTATGACATCGAGCTCTACTTAAGAGTCAGTTAGTTAATATCTATATTACTAGAGGGTGTGTTAGAAGAGAACTTGAAGGGAAAACGAGGAGGCAGGAAAATAAAATAAAAGTTATTCAACTTACGTATCACTGAGCGCCGCAGAGAAGGATTCAAGACCAATCACAGAGCACAAAGGCTCGTTTGCTTGATATATTAGAAGAGAAGAAATACAAAGCTAACCAAATTATTTCGTAGTAATCTAAAATTAATAGAGAGGTAGCTATTTGAAGTACGGCTAATGACGTTGAGAGCGCGCGTCTCAAAGCGTTTTTAGTTTCGACGATTGTTTCAATATGCGGTCGACGGCGGCGTATGCTTGAAATATTTGAAATATTTATTATGTTGTTCCTTGCGGATTCATAAAAGTTTAGGTTAGGAGCTCTGCATTATTATTTGAAGTGGATACTTGCCCGAGACAGCTGTCCCCAAGAAATCTTGGGATCTTAGTCATCCGCAGAATCATATAAGATTAGGTACATAGGTACAAGTAGATGACAGGGGATGGATATCCCTAGGCAAATTTAATGCTAGCTGCTGCGCTGCAAGCAAGCAAGGCGCGTTTCCTCTCAGCTAAAAACAAAAATGCAGGGATCTCTTATCCTTATCGTTCAACCAATATTTTTTTTTTTTTTCATCTTGTTACATTTTCAATTGAGATATTCTTCTTAAAGCTACTTAGTTAATATCACATCGTCAAAGAGTCTTTTTCTTCCGAACCTAGCCATGGCAGTCCCAGCATCTTTACCGACCCTACTGGACTCCTTAACAAACTCGTTAAATTCAGCATTCGAGGCCACTCCTAAAATATCCGGCATCGAACCAACCAAGGACGGAGTATCCCTCCTCGACGTCAAAAACGAGCTTCTACTCTCCTACCTACAAAACCTTGTTTTCTTAATTTTACTTAAGATAAGGAATGCAAAAGAAACCGGCTCGGAGGAACTAGAAGAGCCGAACGAATCTGACCTCTCGGAGACCGTTGTGAAAAAGTTGGTTGAATTACGACTATATCTTGATAAGGGAGTTCGACCCCTCGAGGAGAAATTGCAATTCCAGCTTGATAAGATATTGCGCGCAGCTGATGATGCTGAGCGCATTGCTGCCCAGGCGTTAGAAGATGTCAATTCAGAGTCAGAGTCAGGTGAAGATGATGATGAAGATGCTTCCGAAAACGAGGCCCCCGTCCGACCTACAGTTGGTCTCTCAGCCAAGCAGTTTGGTCCCAGCTTCAACAACTTTGCGCCACCTTCAAATCCTGTAGGAATGGCCGCCATTACAGCGACAGAAGACAAGACAGGTGCATACCGCCCGCCCAAGATCACACCGACCGTTATGCCCACAGCCGAGCGGAGGGAACGGCGTGAGCGCAGACCCATGAAGTCTGCCGCCGTCGATGAGTATGTCGCGAACGAGCTATCGCATATACCAATTGCAGAACCGAGCATTGGAACGACGATCGTGTCCGGCGGCAGAAAGATGAAGACCACCTCTGAGCGCCAGGAAGAGAACCGCAAACGTGAATATGAAGAGTCCAACTACGTGCGTTTGCCGAAGGAGAGCAAGAAAGACCGCGCCAAGCGTACCAAGACCGAGGGACGCAGCGCAAAGATGAACTTTGGTGGTGAAGACTGGTGGGATCTTGGCGAGGGCGTGGACCGAATCGAGAGATTGACCAAACGTAGAGAAGGCGGCAGTAGCACCAAGGCTCTACTCGAAAAGAGTCGTAAGAGAACCAGAGAGACAGTCGATAGCGCCCGTGGAAGTGGCCATGCCATTGGGACTCGGGAGCTAGGGATAGGCGAAAGATTTAATAAACGTCTCAAGGTGATGGAGGGTGGACGCAGAGACCGAGGCAAACGTTAAGGATATACCTAATATCAACCAAATATCATTGAATCCAGACTTCTAGCTATCTATACCTAAGGTATACTAACTCCAAGATTCAACTAAAAGTACTACAACAAAGGCGTCAACCCTGATTACGGCCTTTGAACAGCCACCTGTTTCGTTTTCTTCCATATAATCATAGTTCCCTCAGGTCCTTTCATTAGGTACTCGTTACGTATACCAGATTCCATTCTCGAAGATAATACAACAATGATTGAACCTCATATCCACGATTAAACTACAACAGCGGCTCGCGGAAAATAATCGGGTACAGGGAATTCCGTGCGAGTGTTGAAAATTTCATCTCTCACGGGAGTCTTATCGAACGGGTTTCTTAAAGTACTATCAAGATGCGGGTCGTCCAAATTCTTAACAAGGCATCATTTCTTGCGATGGTAGAGGGGGTTGCCGTATAGTAAGCTATCATCAAGATGGTTATGATAGCCGTATCTACCACGTTTGCGAGAAATGATATCGCGACCATTAAGATTTGAGTCCAACATGGCGATTATACGTTGAGCTTCCAGGTAGTCCGACGAGTCCGACACTAAATTTCCCAAGTAAGAGGTTTCTCGAATGTCAAGATAGTCCGAGAGGTGCTCAAATGAGAGATTTCTATCGTCAGTAATTTCCTAAAAGCTTTTGCCTTCGTCTCTACTTCGCTCGTCAGCTCCAGTATGTCCAATACCGTTTCGGACTTGATCCTCCGCGGCCACCACATGCTTAGGCAGTGCAAACCCCAAGCCGAAGAAGACGAAGAATGCCCACTTCCATCGGAACGGGTTGATAGTGACGCAGAAAAAGAACCACCAGAGTAGTTCGAGGTACGTAAAAAAGTCAAAGGCACCAGTTGGGGCTGTGGCTTTTAGGACCTTGGTCATATCGATCCAGCGTTTCATCCAGAAGGTAGATGGGCGCGTTAAGGGGTCCACGAGAAACATAAGCAGAATCCGGGTATATATTCCGATATGCCAGTTGCCAACAGTGCCAATAGCCGATAGATATGTGCAGTTGATGGCCGAAATGGAGGGATGCTGCGGAGGAAACGTTTGGAGATACCAGTTTGGCGGGCCATACGACTCGCTATAACAGTCATCCGGAAGGAAACTCAACGATGGCCGCTTATATCCGGTCGCCATGACTATCATGTCGCCTTTGATATTGACCTTTCGGCCGGGGCCTCCCTTCGGTACCCCCTTATCTCTCTTGTTCACTAAGATTCCCGTCTCGGTAAACCCTTCAATATCACACCGTATCCACTCAACTTGGCCGGAACGGAGTTTGTCCATGACATCAGAGTTAACCATCGGCGTGTCCATAAATATGCCCTTGTCGTTTGGTGCTAAGTCTTGTAGGTCTCGGTAGAAGAATTTCTTCAAAAGCGCCTCGGGGATAGAAGACAAGATAGTCTCCTGCCCCCATATATTCAAGGAAAGCAAAATATCAACAAGCCAGTTGCGAGGAATGATCCACTTGTCGCTGCGTGATAGAATATATATCTTCGATGCGCCCTCGTCCTATAGGTAACATTGAGTGTTAGTGATGACTACCCATAAAGTTCATATTTCCATAGACCTGAAACCCCTCAATCAGATTTTTAGGGGATATATTGAGGGTATAACATACAGAAGCATATTCCAAAGCTTCTACGGCCGACGCACCACCACCGATAACTATCATGGATTTCTCTTTCGCGTCAACACTGTTTTTTATTAGTTCAGTAATTCGTGAAATGGCACTGTTTCGATACTCACCCAGTCAATTGGCTAGAATGATAAACAGGATTCTTGAATGTTTCCATGCCATCCATCTTCGGCATCTTGGGGTCTCCGCACGTTCCTACGGCTGCTATGATACCTTCAAATCTACCATTTGCGGGGTTATTGATGATCCAGCGGCCCTTCTCATCTTTATAGACTTTTTCGACTTGAGTGTTGAATTTGGTTTTCATATCCAGTCCATATCTCTCCCAGAGCTGTTTGACCTGGCTGATAATCTGCCGTCGGTCTGGATAGCCATGTTCCCATTTGACGGACGGGTGAAATCTATACATAAATGAATGGATTTGCAAGCTCGAGGTGTTGTTCACTTTCTGTTATATAGTCAATCATTAGTAAATAGGAATTCGATCATTTAGGCCTCTATGGAAGGTTTAGAATACGTACGCTCCAGATGCCTCCTAGACTCTTTTCATCCCCAGCCTCGAATATCACCACGTCGAATCCGTGGCCAATGCAATGAGCTGCTGATGTCACACCGGTAATGCCTGCACCGATAATCGCAACCTTAGGCCTCCCTACCCTTGTGCTCGGCCCCGGGGGTGTCGGGGAGAATATCTTGTCTGCAAGCCATTGAAATATGATAAAGCATAATTGGAACTGCCACTGAATTATCTTGGATATAAAATGAAACGGGTGAATAATGGGATTGTCCAAGTCCTTGAGCCCTCTTCTAGTTTCGGTTCGAAAGTCGGACCAAACCTCAGAAGCTTCCTCCCGAGGAGACATAACGAACTAAGATGCAGTTTGGAAAGTCAAACGGGGAGAATAGCTTAATGTGCTTGTATACAAACTTAGGAGGTAAATAGCTTAACAACAATAATGACAAGAGAGTCAAAAACAACCAAAGTTCAAACTTGCTTGAGAGATAAAACAAGGTAGAGAGCTCTAATAATTAATATCGCAATTGATTCAATTTGAATAACCAGAAAGCCAGGGGGTGGTTTCCAATTGACGCTTCCATGACGATGAACTTTGTCAGGTCCATGGGTAATAACATTCGAAGTATTCCGAGTAACCCTGTCCATTACGTCATTTAGCAGCATCAAATAAGAGAAAGAGAAGAGCTCTCCGTTGACATGTGAAGAAAGCTAAAAGGAAGCTAGCTACCTCATATCTAGCGCACGGACCACAATTCATAATCCACCATCTTATCATCTATTTCATCCATTTGCCGATGACAGCGCCCGACAATAAATAGAGACATTACATTCATACATGTACCTGTAAAAGACAAGCATGTAATTTTTTGTGTGCAAGTACACGTCCTAAATCCCATATTCCAGATCCCAAATTAAGAAAAAGAAGAAAAAACATAGGAAACGTTAATTGGTAGTCGACAGTAAACAGTTGGAGCCCAAATCCCTTTATCATACATCAATATCATGATCCTTAAAATACCCAACCAATATCCTACCTCATGCATTTCATGTAATTCATGGAACTCGTGTAACTACCACGAGTACTTGAATCCCAAATAGCCGTTGGTACCTATCGTATCCGACAGAGGGGACACTTCCACCTCATTCTCTTCGTTCGTTCCGACCTTGTATTTCGTTTCCGGCTGATCTTCGCTAAAGTCGTCGCCGTCTTCCAAGTACAAGCCTATTAACGGAGTCGCAATAACCGAATCAACACCACGAGAGATACTCTTGGCTCCGAGTTCGGGTAAGTAGTACTCCTTCGCAATGGTAGAGCATACGGCGGCATTGTTTGTGATCTTCAGCTGGACATTACCAATGAGACTCTCCTCTTCGGGATCCACCGAGTTGACTACGGGTCCAGCAACCCTCTCCTCTAGTTCCATGATGTACTTGTCGGCCAGCACTAGTTGCTCGTCTGCATTAAACGTCAGGAAGGGGACAATCTCAGTAACCCGGCTGGTCAATCGAGCTCCAAAGCTAGCAATAGAATCATGACGAAGCTGGCGAGAGAGCTGTTTCTTAAGCGCAAAGTGCTCTAATCGTAAATCGGAATCGCGTAATAATTTGCTGTTAGCCTCGCAGAAGCTGCGAATCGTGTTGTCAAACTTGTCCGTCGACAAGATCCAAATAGTGTCGGCACAATCGATCTTCTGGCCGTCTCGGCGGTCCGTGTATTCACCTATGAAGTTTAGTTTCGACTCATATCAACCTAAGCTAATTACTTCACGTACCCAAGTCAAAAGGACTCAAAAGCGCCTTGCGGATATCTTCGCTTGTCTTTTCGAACTCTTCGATGAACACGATACTTCTTTGTCCGGTTTTTCTAGCGAGGAAATTGTTCAAAGGTGAGCCTAGCTCATGACCCTGCTCCGGTGCTTTGAGGCCGAATAGCTCGTCCTCGCCCCTGATGTGGGTAGAGTCAACCCTCTCAATATCCAATGATAGGAGACGCCCTAATTCATTTACGAGGTCGCTCTTCCCGTGGCCTTTAAGTCCACCGAAAAAGAGCACCAGCGGCTTCCTGCCTGGTATAGCGAGATTTCTATCGAATATTAGTTTGATGAATTAGGGACAACTGGGTTCCTGACACTTACACCAGGAAGCTCTTCTTCAAAGTCCATGCTGCTAGTCGTTGTCCGATGATAGTTTGTTCCAGGCCGAGGATCTCTTCCGCGTTTCTTCGCAGAGCGAGCGTTCTTTCGCGACCGGATGGCGGTTCTAGCCTCGATGCTCTCCAAAGGAGGTATCGCTGTGTTAAACTCAATGCGGCGGCTAACTGTGGCCGTATCTCTGGCGAGCACCAGAGTCTCTCACCATCCACGATGTCTTGTAGCTCTTTCTCATCAGGACCAGACTCCGGAAGGTCCCGATCGAATGGGTCATAGTATGCCGCGGGAACGACAAGGGGCGATGCGCCAAGCCTGAGCAGCGTCTCTACGGTCTTGGCCGCTTGTAGACGAGGACGAGCGCACCGCAGAATCGCAAAGGCTAAGACGGGGAAACGAAGAGGTCCATAGGTAGCGTTTGGATCACCGCCGTATTTGATCCACTGGCGAATGAGCTCCGCGTCATTGGTTTCGACGACAAAGAAAATTGCTGGGAGTCCCACGATTTCTTCGTTGAGACTGTCCTTTAATAGATCTGCGTCAATCTTATGGTAGTAGCTCAGATATTCGCGCAATTCTTCGGCCGAATATCCATTCTGGATGGTCCCAATAACTCTCTCGAGGTCAAACCAGCCTGCGTTATGTAGTTCAGCTCCTAGTGGCTGATTGGGAGGAGGAATACGGGGCAGTTGATCATAGTATGTGATTTCAGGGATTGGCTCTGGCTCTTCGGTATTAGGGTTCTCATATCCCTCATCAACCGAGAATGCAGAGCTAGCGTTAATCTCGACAGTCAGCCCTAAGGATGGATTCCGCTCAACGTCATCATCCGATATGTGCGTAAAGCCCGTGTCTGAGAAATGCACCGGGCTTTCTTTGCCGTTTGTTTGATAAGCCTATGCCGTATAAGTTACCAAGATACATCAATACATCTGAGAAGCTAGAAACCTACCCAAGTTTTAGCGGCCGCATCTGCTGCGTCTCGGTCATGATTCTTTACCAAAACGGTTAGTCAAGCGCATCAGAGAATGAGTCTAGAAGAGCTTACCCTGATGAACTCGCCCAGCGCGTCAAGAGTCGAAGCTGGGGCTGGTTCTGCGTCGTGGAATGAGACCGGATGTTCATAGTCTTGCTCAACTGATCCCGGCTCTGGCTCGGGTGTTTGATCCCGCGCTAGATCTGGCAGCAGGTCCGGTTCCGGTTCCGGGTCTTCTTGTAGCTCCGGCTCTAGCGGTTCCGGTTCTGGTTCTGGTTGTTGCGGTTCCGGAAATACTTCCTGAACTGGTTCTAGAACTGGTTCAGGTTCTCGTGCCCATTCAGGCTCGGGCTCGGGGTCGGGATCTCGCGCCCATTCTGGTTCCTCTTCCTTCTCAGGTTCAGGTTCAGGCTCAGGTTCAGGTATCACTTGTATCGATGGTGGCTCCGGTACTCGTTCTGGAATTGGCTCTGTCTTCGGCTTTGGCTCCGAGGGCAATTCTTGTACTGGTTCTGGAACCGGCTTTGGTACTGGGACTGATTTGGGAGCTCCATCTGGCATTCGATTTGGCTGTGCTTCTTTCCCTGCCTCTGGAGCTTTTTGCGCCAACCTTCTCTTCTTCTTCGCCATGTTCAAGAACGACTGGCTTGGCTTTCTATGGATTAAATTAAGAATATAAGACTCAATTTTGAAGGTGAAAGAATCCATAGAATATATACATAGGTAGCTCTATGGTGTTTTGGATTCAAGTTGGGAGTGAGATTTCTAATTTCATCACATCCCCAACAAGAGGGAGACACGCTCTTAACGGCTCCAGATTTATGAGCAGCGCACTGATTGTTTTTGGCGCCAATGGCACTCTTGATACACCGACGAATGGCTGGGGCGGCATCCATTTCAATTTTTTTTTTCCTGTCGCCGCTGCAGGTCCAGCAATGTTGCATCAACTAGGTTAACAACCAGACCAGGTCGATTTACTAGGGGTGTCTATAGAGAAGTTGAAGTAGCGACATATTATTACCTGCTTCATCATACCCGACCCTAACCAATGACCAATGACCAATGGCCAATGGTATTTCATCCCAAAACATACAAGATCGAATGGCGCGTTTGAGGCGGTCTGGGGTACACAGCTTTGACCGCCGAACACCACACAAAATTAATGCAGCAGCTGAGATGCTGAGAATTAGGCTTCAAACCCAACTTTACGCTCTCCAATTTCATGCATACCGCTCTGCATCTTTCCGCTCCCTATTCCAAAGAACTCGACGAATGAAGATGCACCCGAGCTCATATGAACACGTGCTCTTATACTAAACTCATAAGTATCCAGCGGGTTAGGTGTACCTAAAGAAAGGTTTCTTTGGGCGTGCATGTTGGGGAATGATCGTATCTCACATTAAAAACATAGGGGTCGTCTATTTGTTCCCCAGTTTGCCCCGGTTTGCCCCGTTCAATATTGCGGTGCCAATACTTTCGACAACACAGAGCTAACAAGACGATTTAATATGATACACGACAACCTGTCAGCAGTGACGTGGTGGTCCAGGTGAGCTAATAATGAAGCTGGATGCAGTTCCTGATAATACTATTGGTCTATTGCATGCCGCTCATTCTGATGGGTATGGGCATATGCGTGATGACGGAACCTAGATTGGGTTATTAGACGAGGCCCCCGAAGGCCCAAGAGTAAATACCCAATCTTGAGTTCTGGAACAAGTAATACTGGAGTCAAAAATAAAGACACCCGTAACGTGGGCCATAGTAGCAAATGGTAGATGTTAACCCTATGTGGCGAGCAACCACATAAATCTATTTCACGGCCTGACACGAATGCGAAAAATGCAATCCAGGGAGTTTTGATTAGCAAATTGAACCAGAGCCGCTCGGGCATCTCGTTTTTAACCAGTAAGAATTCCGACAATTCAGCATTGGGATCTATATTGTGGGTATATGAAGGCACCGAAATTGACCTAATAATATCGCAATCCGGCCCTGTCCGTCACCGCCCAAGAAAAAAAAATTTTACAAGAAAAAAAACAAACAAACAAACAAACAAACATTTATTCCATTGACTGAGGACAAGTTGTAAATCTCCCCGAGTAAAAGATCACAGATGCAATTTAAACTATAAGTGCCTAATTGCTATTGAAGTAATTAACAGCAAGCACAGGCCCAAGCTTAAGCTCTTTCTCCCATCCATCTAAGTCGAAGCGCATGCGGCGCGAAACCCCGACAGGCTTCCCGCCGGCCGGTGCATGTTTCTTGACGTCGAAGCCCTCAGGCTGCTCGTATAGGAAGAAAGCATATCGGTGTGGCGCGCTTGGCGACGGCGGCGCAGGACCAATGTAATTAACTATGAAAGGCGTCGTAGACTTGAGGGTGAACCCGTTACCGTCGGCTGCTGGCGTGGGTTTTAAGTCCGACTGGATCCAATGGAGCACCGGACCTAACACGCTGAATGACGGGAACGGAGCGTCGAGATCGAGATTTATTATTATGTAAGTTTTCTCGGGCGACGCCGATGCGAAGCTGATTTCTGGCTCTGATTGAGCGTCTGAGTGATTTTAAGTTAGCTTGAACTTGATATAACTACCTAAGTTATTCTATATATAATACTTTCTCAATTATTTCTTTCTTTAATTCATCTATCACTTACCGGCCTTTGGGATATATAGCCCGGGTTCGACGTTGGCATGCTTGCCGACGCTTAAGCCTAGAACTTTGGACTTGTCGTTCTCGATGAGCGATAGCGCCGTCTTGACGCTGTTATTGGCAGGCATTTTCAATGCTTATAGCTACGTGATCAGATGATGTAGTTAAGTGATGAGTTGAAGAGATAAGTCTATGATTGATGAGATGAGTCTGACGTAGAAATGTTAGGATAGCAAGGTCGTGATATTTATTCTTTGCTGCTTGACTTAACTTACTATATTCTGGACTCTTTCCCATCCAACGTAAAGATGGAGATTATTATAGAGTGTGATAACTGGACGGAGATTAACGGAATTGACTCGATAAAGTCCGCCAAGATTGCGACTCTAATAATGAGAAACTTGGGTATGACGGGTCCAAAGTCCTGGTATTTTTTTATGCAACTGCCATCAGCAGTAGAGACAACGTGATTCTTTCTGATATCGTAACTAACTAACATCTCTTTAACCCCTATATCCGCATAGGAGCACTACAGACATGGCAAAAAGCTTAATTCCCTATAGAATGTCAAGTACATGATATCCTACTAACTAGAAGAGTTTATATTCTAAGCTCTGTATATGGGTATATTTGACACATTTCATTCTTCGCCCCATGAAGCTTAAAGCAAAGATGGTAGCCGTCAGCGGAACCTTTAGGGTTGGTGATCGGCATAATTGCCGCCCCACTTGCCCCGAAATAAGCGGTTCGGCTCCGGCATCACAACATCGGCAAACCAACGCGGATACGGATAAAAAGGCAGACTTAAAACGGGTAAACCTACCTAGTTTAAGCGAGTATTAAATGTTAGATATTGGACAACTTATTCGTATAGACTTATTGCTTAGATAGATTGACTTTAAGTTGCATATGTATTAGTTATTGAACATATTATTACAACAGTAAAAGACAACTTTGAACGTACGAGATTTGATATTTGATTTAAGTTTCCATGACTTGAGAAGAAAGACTCGGTGTATACCCAAGTCCTGGAAAAGCTATTATTAAAGTTTAAACCAATCAAATTACTTATAACTATCCGCATTTAAGGACATATCTCGAATTGCTTTGAGGCTCAAGTGCTAGCTGCACAATCCATATTGCTTCCAAGGACTTGGTATTATCTCAGATAGATAAAGGAATAGGTAGACGATTGGCTCTCTGTCGGGACCCCATCGGGACATGTGGCATGAATTTCTGACAAGGATTCTAGCAACGGAAGATCGTCAGTGCGTCATTGGCGATCAAGTGGATTTCGCTAGCCTTGACCGAGTGCTTGGCGTTAATGGCGGAGCAATTCTGGAGAGGCTTGATAGTCAGGAACAAGGCCTAATTCAGGTTAGCGAGGTCAAATCCTACGAAAGATGGAATGGCGCTACAGAAGCTCAACTAATAATATTGAAGCCTCTCTAGATCCTTTCTGATTTGCTATTTTGAATACCTTCCTTATATTATCTCTAGGCAACTAGTTAGCTAAATATGAATGTGCCTACGGATGCTTTGCATGCTTAGTGCAAGCCTGATACGTTTGATGCATCTCACCACCAAGAACAAAAGATCCTGGACGGGGCCGAAGTTGTTAAATTGGAGGCTGATGAGTCCAAGCTGTCGTTATATTAATTATGTGAGGTTTTGCTTTGTTGAGCTATGACAAAAGTCGTTTTCCCAGTAGTAGAATATATGACATTACTCCTGAATAAGTATCATTTAGTACGAGTATGATAAAACCTCCCACCTCTCCACTCGAGACTTCAACTATAGTAGGAGCCCGTAATATACATAATGTAGCGAATGAAAAATAAAAAGGTTAACCACGATAATATAGAGTTTTATAAGATGCGTATAGTTTATATTGAGGCTCTTAGGTAGGGAGGATGAACCTAATAGTTATGAGTGCTAAACTGTTACATACCTAGCTGGTAAGCACTATAATCTAAACCCCTGTCTTACGTACTATCACGTTACGCACCAGCAACCTCCAACAACAACCCTTCATTCCATCCAGCTCAAGGGAGATTCAAGTTTATGATCACGATTTGACAGGTCATTAAGGGAATGCCCGCGGAATGCCCGGAATAAAACTCAGAACCTTCTTCTGAGGACGCCACATATGATGGTGAGAGGAAATGTGGAGTACCTTGCCCCTTTTATTAATAGATAATTCTAAATCCTCAAGCTAGGTATTCCATACACCTGCCATTTTTGGACGCTATATCTGCCCTTGAAACATGTTTCTATCATGCCAGAATCGTATATGGTATAAGTCAAGCTGTATCTAGGCATCATCGAGAGTGTGCGGGCTTGGCAATGTTTCGTAGAAGCGCGACGCCTTCACCGTCATCGTTTCTTACAATCGTGTATTTAAGAAATGGTTAATAACGTCTTGTTTCCAAGATGATCTTTCGTTTCCTCAGTATACAGTAGGTCACAGGTGCCCATTTACACATACAGCAACTTCGAAGCTGGCCTTCTTTCTTTTTTCGAATCACTATCGTTAATCTCACACACTAAACTTGATATTTCCCAATATGCCTTCTTTAAGTACAACACTTTTGGCTTTAGCCGCCTCAGCACCGGCAGTCCTAGGCCACGGCCACGTTCGAAGAGTAATTGTTGACGGTGTCACTTACCCGGGTTATGAGCGTTGGTCAAACCAAGACCAAAGTCAAGCTGTCACATGGCAATTCACGACGGAAGACGAGGGACCAGTTCCGGTAACATCACTCGGCGGCCCCGATATCATCTGCCATCTTGGAGCGACAAACGCCCAAGCCTCGATCCCAATCGCTGCCGGTTCCCAGTTGCAGGTCGTGCGTTTTAACACGATAGGCGGCTTCGAGCACCCCGGCCCCGAGATGCACTATCTCGCTCCGTGTGGTGATGCTGGTTGCGCCAACGTCGACAAGAACAACCTTCGATTCTTCAAGTTCTTCGAGAACGGTCTCATTCAGGGCGGCATGGCAGATAGCCCTCAGTGGGAAACCCAGAAGTGGGCTACTACTGAGGTCCACAAGAACGTCCAGCCGGAGGGAGAAGGGTTTGTTGACACATTCACGGTCACCATTCCTGCGAACATCAGACCTGGCCCTTACGTCCTTCGACATGAGGTTCTAGGATTGCACAAGGCCCATGAAGGTCAAGCCGAGTTCTACCCTCAGGTTAGTGGAACCTTTATCCTAAATCATCTTCTAAACGCGTATTTACTAACTCAAAATAGTGCATCAACCTCGAGATTTCGGGCTCTGGTGACCAGCAGCCGGAGGGCGTGCCAGCTACCGAAATGTATCACAGCAGCGACCCCGGTGTTGCTCTGAATATCTGGGTCGATCTTCAGTCATACCAAATCCCCGGACCGGCAGTTTCCAACCTCTCCTTTAAGAGGGATACTAAGGCGCGAGCTACCAAGCGTCACCCCCGAGATCTTAAGCATTAAGTTCTCTAGGCCGGTTACTTGGAGTAAACTTCCGATAAATCTCCCAAGAGTATACCTTGAGCTATAGTTGTACTATTCATCGTCTTCTTTCTACCTGCCTTGGACATACTTTACATTTCGCCTGTACAATTGATTAAGATGTATATACTTGCCTTTTCTATTCGAGTTGCAGAGAAAGATTTTGTTCTTTCTTTATACAAATATATAAATATGAAGAGCTTTATACAAAAGTCTCATACCAATTACCATCTGTTTCATTAGTAAACTTACATGTTTTCTGCCATTCCCAAGCCTTATGCCTTTTTGTTCGGTCTCGGGATTATAAATACTGTGATTTACAATCATAAGACCCAACTATATTAATCTCTTACTAAAACAGTAAGCTATTAAGTAGCATACAAGCATCCCATAGAGTATTACCCGTATCTAATCTACCTAGAAGAGCAGGCGACCCAATCTACAAATAGAACAGCTCAATACAATTCAAGATCCGTCGATTCAGATTAGCTTTCTCGCTGTGCACACTATCCATTGTACTTTGACAAAGCTTCTGCGTCGAAACAACTATACAGTGTGGTTGATTGATACTGACAAGGAAACGAATATGAGATTGATAAACCTTTCTTTGTTTCTTTACAATCTCACGCATGATGGCTGAGTGCCTTTGTGAATGTCTCGTGGCATTATACCGCTAGATTATTTATCATATTCCGAACGTAAACTTTTCAATCCAGAAATTTTAATCGACCCTATCAGTGCAAGTCCAATACTCTGTTTAGGAAATTGCACTGGAAAAGCGAAATGAATGCACCAGTTCGTCAGCAGCCTCGGCGTGCTGCCCGTGATAAACATGGACTGAGTAGCTTACCACTAAAGAGCCCCAAACAAGGACATACGTCGGGTCTAGGGCTAGGGTCGCCGAAGAAATCGCCTAGAATTGAAACGAGGTACCGTAGAAAAAAGGGGGCCATGTCCCATGCGAAAGCAAGAGCATTAGCGACAAAGGCTCTCGAGAAGAAGATATCCTCAAGGGATCCCGAATCTGCATGGCTGGAACAGAGCGGGCTTCTCGGTGTTCCTAAGAGCCTCCCGCAAGAGTCCCATGACATTAAAAGCCTAACATCCCCGAAACTACCTAAAGCCAAGCGAGGCCGCGGTAAGAAGAAGAAGTCGGAAGAGGACATGTACATGGACGACCTCCTGCTTTCCGACGAGGAATTTGGACATGCCGGAGGCCTTCAGAGAGCGGAACGCTGGATCCCTGATATGCAGCACCGACGCCGGCTAAACCAGAAGCCCAAAAACGTACCCTCTCAGTTATGGATGTCCTACTGCCTCATGGATGACTATATGTATAGGCAATCTCTGGCTGACGAGGAGGTTCTGGCGCTTCCACTTATGGACGATGTCTTGGAGTTTCAACACGGCGGTAGCAGCGATAAGGCAGTTCCACCGCCTGGCTTTCAGTGGAACGAAAAAAGGAGATTGGTACCTATTCTAGAGAATTGAGTAGTTAAGAGAAGTAGCTAAGACGGCCCTGACAAAAGTTCTTGTAGTTAAAAGTTCTTGCAGTTTAGTTCGCTCATCTGTATATGAGTTGTCAATATTACAGACACTTATGGTATTTCAGGTCGCGATTTGGGTGATGCTTGTAAATTGTGAGACGTTCATAATATGAAATAGTTAGTAAGACCTGTATTGCTAGATACCTACCTAATAAAACAATGAAATATAAAATCAAGATACCTTCTATAAGTCCTTGACTCATTGGAACTTTATCTCATCAATGGGGATGAGATTTAAGTAAGAAATAATGTGTTATTAACAAATGGCTGAAAAAAAGGGGACGACGCGGATAAAGTTAAAAATGCCCCGCGTTCAAACAAGAGAATTGCGTGATTGATTGAACTCCGCTTCAACATTCCCTCATCAACAATCATCCAAGATACCCTCGAATAATATATCTAAAACCAGTCCGCCTCAAAACAATGACCTCGTCATCGGAAATAGAAGACGGGGTCTCCAGGCCTCTCCTTGCCGACCAAAGAGATGAGCGGGATGCTAATTTAATAGGTGGTGATGCCCCTCCACTGCCTTCAACTCGGGATGCGGGCACATTCACCAGGAATCTCGGCGCTCTTGAGGCTTTCGCCATCGTTATCAGCATTGTTATCGGAAGCGGGATATTTACTTCCCCCGGATCTATAGACACCAATGTACCATCTCCGGGCGCGGCCTTGGTTGTTTGGTTGATTGGTGGAGTGCTTGCGTGGACTGGTGCCTCGACCATGGCAGAGTTAGGAACAGCGATTCCTGGTGAAGGTGAGTTAATCTCATATACAACTCATGCTATACATGTGCAAGTGAGATATGATGGCTAAGTTATACCATAGGCGGAGTGCAGCCGTACCTTCAATACATATTCGGAGATGTCTTTGGCTTCCTCGCCGCTTGGACATGGATTGTGGCTGTCATGCCGGCTACCCTCGCCATTCTTAGTATTGTGTTCGTTGAGAGTATTTACTCCGCGATGGGTGTAACCGATCAGGCTGGGAGGATCGAACATAAGCTATTTTCTATTCTCATTTTAGTCGTCATTGGTGTCGCCAATTCTATTAGTACTAAAGCCAGTACTCGTCTCAATAACTTCTTTGTGGTTACTAAGTTTATAAGTATCGCGGGAATCGTGATAGCTGGAATAGTAGTTGCCATACTTCAGGCCACTGACCCGGAAAGGGATATTGGAGGGCGAGACTGGTTTAAGAAGCCTTGGTTTGGCAATCGGGAAGTTCTTAACCCCGACGGGAGCAAGACGGATTGGAATGAGCTTGGTGAATGGGAGATTCTTGGTCATTATTCTGCTGCGTTATATGGAGCATTGTGGGCTTACTCTGGGTGGGATAAGGTGAGCTTATATTCTATCAATGCTGGATTAGACGGGTTACTCAAATAACTTCGCAGGCAATTTATGTCTCGGCTGAGCTTCGATCACCAGCACGTCAGCTTCCACTCGCAATCAATAGCGCCATCCCGACGATAATACTCTGTTTTATCACCGCGAACGCTGCCTACTACATATTACTTCCATGGAACGTGGTCTCGACAACAGACAGTGTCGCTGTGGTAAGTGCAACATTTCTAATATGGTATGATATCTTCTAAATTATTGGGTAGACCGCTATCACCCGTATTCTCGGACAAGGGTTTGGCATCGCCGCCGCCGCTCTTATCTGCCTGGTCGTCGCCGGCTCTCTTCTTGGTAATTCGTTTGTCGCTGGTCGCATGGCTGTCGCGGCGGCCAACATGAACTGGTTTCCTCGTATTTTCGCCTCCGTTGGCCATATTGGATTGAAACCTAGGACGGAAGATGAACAGGGCTCTCCTAATACGGCACATTCAGATGCTCCTATCAACGCGATCTTACTTTCAACCATCCTTTCAGCCCTATACATCATTCTTGGGAATTTTCGTGCTCTCTTAACTTTCAACGGACTGGGCGAGTATTCCTTCTTCTTCCTAACTGTTCTAGGTGCTATTGTTCTTAGATTCCGCGAACCAGGACTGCGACGACCATATAAACCATACGTTCTGGTCCCAGTTATATTCGCAGTAGTTAGCGGGTTTGTGGTAATTAGAGGTGCCTTCTTCGCACCTGTGTTGGCACTCGTAGTTATCATTGTATGGATAATTGGCCTTGGATTTTACTGGGTTAGAAAACGATTGGCTCTCAGGCAAGAAGAGTAGTTAACGGATAGTTCTGTACTCTATTTACAATGTCGCATGTTTCCTATTGACTTATTCGCGGAATATCGATAATTCTTCGCGACCTTCCACCGTCGGATTCAGTTGAATGGCATATTTCTCAAACTCACACTCGTTCATTCTATCGCTCACTGGTTCCTCCGTGTCAGAGTATTTGAGTACTAATTCACGTTCCAATTCCCGAATACCCCGTTTGATAGAGCGCGCCCCGAGCTCTTCCTTGTACGACTTCCTAGCTATCTCGTCGCAAACTTTCCCGTCTTCAATCAGGCGGACGTTTATGTTACCGACCAAGCGGTTAGCTTCTTCGTCGATAGGGCGTCGAACTTCATCTATAAATTCAAGTAGGAATTTGTGAGCGACGACAGCTTGCTCACCCTTATTGAAGGGGAAGAACGGTATAATTTCGTCAATGCGACCTGTGACTGCGGGCTATAAACTGGTCAACGTGATATGATGCGAGAAGTATTTTATAGTGTAGATGAATGAAAAGAAGACATAAACTAACCGAAAAACGGCTCATGTAGAGTTCTGTGAGCTCGCTTTGGAGGGGCTTGATTGATATATTAGCCACATTTTCGTCTTTGCTACACTTAACAAGGTGTTTTGAATGGAATCGAGAGATGGTATCATTCCCCAAGTTCGTTGCTAGGATCCAAATGACTTTTCGGCAATCTAATTCGGCATGATCGGAATTCCCGCGACGATCGCGGTATGTGCCTAGGTAATAAGTAAGTCCTTCGTATACCACGAAAAAACATGGGTGTAGAAAGACATACCATCGTCCATGACCTTGAGTAGCGCATTCCGTGCGCTATAGTCTGTCTTGTCAAACTCGTCTAAAAATACAACGCATCGTTTTCCTCGGTTATCCACCAGGAAGTTGTTCAGTGGCCCACCATTAGTATTGTTCTCGTATCCAAGTGTACTACCAAATAGCGCTGTCTGCGAATTGAGATGAGTACAGTCAATGTTAATATTCTGGATTGACAGCAAAGAGCCCATCTGGGTAGCTAGCTCTGTCTTTCCGTGGCCAGGAGCACCCGCAAAAGCTATCACGAGAGGCTTCTCGGTGTTTAGTGCCATATGAGCATAGACTGTGTCTATAACTAGCTTTACAGCTGACTCCTGACCAATAATCCGGAAGGGTAATCTTAGAAGTGTTGTCATATTCAAGGCTTCGGCTATCTGGAGCATACGCCTTGCTGATTTTCTGAGACGGTGAGCCTTCCAAAGATAATACCGCGTTGTTAAGTCAAGCGCCTTTGCCAGTATAAGTCTATACTTGTCGACACACCACTTCTCTGAATCCGAAATCTTGTCGCTGTCATATTTCGTCACGATCGGTGTTTTGACATAGTTCTGCCACATTTCTCTGGGTATCACTAGAGGGTCAGCTCCATATGATAGCAGTAGCTTGATCATTTCTAAGTTGGCGTTTCCATTTATTATACCATCCATAATAGCAAATGCCAGCAGTGGGACGTCATCTTCGAAATATCTCGAGTTGACGTCGCCGTTAGGGGGGTGAATGAGACTGATTCGGGACATCACGGCTTGCTGTGCTTGTCTAAGTATAGTTCTAGTGACGAGGGAAGTCAAGTATTGAAGATTTGACAATAGTGAAAAATGATATATGGAGTGTATATGGATTAATGAAAAGGCTGAGATTATTCGAGGGTGAAGGGTGAAGCTTGATTTTTATACACGTTCATACCAACATGCCTGGTTTCATGCCTGATAGCAGTCTGCCGGCTATTCTTTCTGGCAAAATATTATAGATCTAGCGATCTTATATTTGGCTATTTCCAGCTACTGGTCAGTGATAGGTACCAACACTGTTTCAAAAAAAAAAAATAATAAAAAAATGACATAACTTCATTTGGCTCAAAACGTACGTATCCAACGTAGGGTATGTCAACTGCAAACGCCGCTGGACATACGTTGGTGCTAACCGGTAAGGCATCTGGCCGTCGATGCCCGTGGCCTATCGTAAGTTGATAGATCACTTTGATTTCTATCACCGGTTGGATGGCACCTGGCACCTCTCTAGCCGTTGATACCCATCTAAGCTTTCATTACTTTCTACTTACCTCCTATTTCGTTTGTTGTATCACCCTCGGTATAAGTATTTCGTCGTCGTTTAGGTAGGTTGCCTAGGTAATTCCTACGGTATGTACTAATGTAACCTCCCGTAATTTGGTATTGGTACTAGGTCCTTTTCCTAATGCTCCGTTTGTAAAAATACCGGGTTGGTTCCTTGCATATCTAATATGAGGTAACCCGGAAATAGTTGTTACCTATTGATCTGCTACGCGTTCTATCATAGGTAGGTATTAGGTCCTTTTCCGGGTTACGTACTAGGTATGTGACAGCCCTGAAGTCCGGGATTGCACGAGCCAAGAGGGTTTGATGGCTGATGTGGAAAACATACCTAGGTATTGTTATAGAAGGGAGGAGAGGCCTTAAACGCCTTAAACTAGGTGCTGATCTCTGCGAGTGTAGTAACTTTTAGCTGGCCCCTGAAAGTGTATAAATAGGGCTCCGTTTATTAGCTTTATAGGGGTAGTTAATAATCCTACGGCTATTCCTAACAAGTTGGTCAACAAGCCAAGTTACCAGTCTATTGCTATTACCTCGACCATCTGGCAGTCCGTTGAATATTATAATAGCTCGGAGCTTAGCATTTCTAAGATCAGACGAGGTAGTATTTGCTAGTATCCTGGATCATGTAGATAATGACGAGATGATGCCGACATTGTTTACATCCATCGGCCCCTACTTACCAGAAACACCTACCAGACTTCCATATTTTAGCGAGTTCAGGGTTGCTGCGTACTGGCTCTGGGCCGATGACGCGGTAACAATCATTGTCGAAGTGCCATCCTTCCCAGACAAGAAATGCTCTCGGAGCACCATTGTCAGGGGCGAAGAGCGAAAGGGGATACGCTCCTGACCCGAGGCACAAGCCCTAATCACCTCCTTTAGTGCTAGTAGATCCGTGTTTATTTGTCTACCCTCTTGTCGTTCTTGCGGAGTTTGTTTGGGGAGCAATAAATGTGACAAACGAGGGTCGGTCTGATACTCCGAGCCAGCAAGATCAACGAAAATGAGTCTTCCGCCTAGGCGTGGCGTATCTTGGCCTTCGACATGCATGATTGATGCTACCTTCTCTTCCGCCTCTGCTATACGAGCTTCGAATCTTGCCCGCTCGGCCTCGGCAGCGTCAATTTTTTCCTGGTTGACTTTATAGTCAGGGTTAGGTTGATATCCGCCTCCCTCAATTGGGATGACACTCTTGGTTTGTTCTTCAATTTGAACGTCGTCTGCATACTTGCCTACGGGCACTAGCTCTGATTGCCGATCGTAAAGGGCTTGTCGCGCCTTCATAAGATGAGAATTGATCACCTCTAACTCAAGTACTGCGTGGGTGCGCGAGCTTTGGTCGTGTACACTTGACGAGCCGACAGCACGGAGGCCAAGACTTTTTTGTAACTCTTTTCGAAGCTCGTCGAGCGTCCAACATGCACGTTGGACGATGGGCTGTACCCTAACTTTCCCACCTTCCAGCATTTTAGTAGGGCCACGAATATGCGTCTTGCCGTCAGCGCCTTGTCTAATATGGCACTGTGTGCGTTCGTTGAGAAGATCAAAGGCTGTACTTTTCCGCAACTCGAATACACTCAGTCCTAGGCCAAGTGTATCTTCGCCTGCATTCGCATTATGGATATCCAGCTCTGTGAAAAGCACGCGAGCAGCTGCTAGGGACAGACCAAGCCGGCTCTCGTGTTCGTAGTCATAGCCAATGATGGTATGCGTTTTTCCGCTACCTGAATGACCGTAGGCAAAATAGTTATATGTTGCTCCTCGTAAAACCTTTGGTAAGATAGGAGCAACGATTTGGCTGAAAATACTGTCATTATCATCTTCTTGAGTGAAGACTCCTTTAAAAGCAGCCGGGCTAGACCATGGCTTATCTTTGTGGGGGGCTTCGGGTTTGATAGAGATGGAATGAAGTTGACGGTTAGGTTGCGAGTTAATAGCATGCTCGAATTCCCCAACCTCAGTCTCAATAGCTGCTAAGGGACGCCATCTAGCATACACACATATAGGTTGAGGGGAAGAGGACATAATAGAAAATTTTGAATCATATAAAGAAATACTCAATGATTGCACATATAAGTTAGCATATCTAGAAGACGATGAATGTATAAAAAAGAAATTAGAAAAAAAAGGTAGACGCGTCGTTCTTAGGCTACCATTTCGTATATTCTACGCTTAGGCGGCGATATAAATCATATCGATTAACTTATACGGTATATTGATATATTGCCAAGCCATGATAAGTATTTAATGAAGGAATTGGTATTATGAATATTACCCCTTTTCATTTACCTCTGCGTTGAACTTGGTCGATCTATTATCTCCAAAATTGAACGAAGTTGGACGTGAACTCTAATAGTATTAGATTATGTACATGTATTATTGATACTTTTATAATATTAGGTACCGCTACTTGGCTTTGGTGAGAACTAAGTAGATACTATAGGCTAGATGGTTACGTGTGCTATACACATCCCAATATGGCTAAGTCAATATAGCAAAGTCCTAAACAGCTTTCTTAGTCTAACTAAAGACTTATTAGTAAGGTATCATTTATACCTATAGAAAAAAGCCGCGAGACTCTCATGGGACCTAAACGTACATCAAATGATAAACCAAGCTAGAATCCATTAGCACCCCGCCATTACTTTCATCAAACCCTTCCCATATAGCTTCAAAGCTTATTAGGTCATTTTTAAAGTCGAAGTTTATCCGCTATGGACAGTGCAGAACGGACCTTAATAGATCCAAGTTGGAAATACCTCTCAACATCTTCTCAGCAGAAATCCAACATATCTCAATATTGTCCTAGACAGCCTTATCTTTCCCTTACCTTGCCCCTGCCTGACTTGCCAGATGCCGCTCTGTTCGTCCGTCGCCTTCAACTCACAACAATCTCACATGACCAAGGTTACAGCGATAACCCAGATAAAGATGGAACATATGAGAGCTCGTTGACTCACTTTGACGTTCAGGTGAAGGAGCCAACTGGTCAAGATCGGGTCAAGCGTCAAAAATTTGCGCGAAATATCCGTGCTTGTTTAAAGCCAAAGAAACATGTTGTTTATTGGGTTCTTACCCCTGACCTGTCATACTCTGTTCAAAATCCTAATCTGGGACCGGCCAACGACTGCGCCTGGCTGTCTGTTATTCGAGGCGGCGATACAATACAAATCGTCCCTAACGCTGAATACCCAGGTTGGATCAACTTTGTCCTTGAAGCATGCATTGAGGTTTGGATTGAAGTAATCAACAATACCAATTTGTTACGGTCCATAACGTATACGTCAAGTGTTCTCTCGATGTATCATGTACTTGATGGGTTAAGAAAAGAGATTCGTCTAATAATCATCGAGCCGTCAATGGATCCTGAGAGCGATATATTACAGATTTCCTTGGAGCATACTTATTTAACTGATAATGAACATCTTACGTACGAGGCACTCTCGTACTGCTGGGGCAGTACTGGAGATCACTGCTGCATATCGTTAAAAGGGCCGGACCATTCCCTGCCAGCGATAGAAATTCCGATAAGCAGGAATCTTTTTCTTGCTCTGAAAACATTGAGACATGAGCGTACTGTACGGAGATTTTGGGTCGATCAGCTATGCATTAATCAATCGGACCTAGGAGAACGTGCTGAACAAGTTGCGCTGATGGGCGACATTTATACGAAAGCGAAGCACGTACGCGTATGGCTTGGGGAACTAGATGAGGATACTAGCCAAGACTTCGCCATCTTTAAAGGTATACTCGACGTTTACTCACAAGTAAAGGCATCCCAAGGCGTACCAGCCGGTACGTTGCATGGTATCGGTAAAGCCATAATACCAACGCCTTCAGTTCCACCGACAATCTCACACAAGGCCATCTCTAGCAACAACGCTATTAATATGCACAACGATCGAGTCTTCCATCGGCCATGGTTTGAGCGTGTTTGGGTACTCCAGGAGGTTTGGAACACCCCCCAAAATTGCTCTATGATGGAACTATCGCAGCGTGTAACTGTGATGTGTGGAAACGTTGAGATACCGTGGGCGGTAGTTATGCGAGCTAACCAATGTCTGAGATCGCGGAACCCCAGTAATTACAACGCGTTGATGCCGGCCATCTGGACAACGCTATTCAACCCTCCCCAGGTTTCCGATTATCTTACGGACTACATTACCTTTGTCCCCCGGCCTCGATTAGATATCTTAACAGTGTTGATAAGTGCGCTGGAAATGAGAGCAACAGACCCTCGTGATAAGGTGTTTGCGCTTCTTGCATTTGGGAAAGAAACATACGATGTCAGAGATTTACCAGAACTGGTGAAACCAGACTATAGTAAAAGTGTCCGACGCGTTTATGCCGACTTTACACGCTGGTGGATAGGGCACCATCGTTCTTTGAGGATACTCTCTGCAGTACATACGCTTACTAGCCGTACATGGCTTGACATGTCGAAGTGCTATACGTCTAACGCAGATCGTGAGAGAAAGTCGGATATCCCTTCTTGGAGTTTCTGGTCCGACGGACGCAGCGAATGGAGGCGAGCTACACTCGGTCTTGAAGAGCATGTACCGTACAACGCTAGTAAGGGATTTGAAGTTGATATCAATCTTCTCGAATCTACTATAAGCTCAGAACCATATACATTGGCTCTAAGAGGAATCCGAATAGGAGAAATATGCTCTACCGCACACTATCCTTTCCACCGTAGACCCTTAGTCTCGGAGGCCATGCATCAAGTCTACGCCAAAATCTTCGACCCGGCTGGTACGGTCGGTACCTGGCGACACGCAAAGAACGCCACGTATCTTCCAGTGCTCGATCAAGGACAGCTACCTTATCACTACTTTGCCCACTGGCGTGACGTATCTAGAGACTCACTCGACTCCAGTGCGGGACAAACCGATCCTAACGCCCCGAATTATCTCCCATGCCACGGAAAGTGTATGTTCTCTACTCAAGAAAATGAAGGCCTTTGCCCAAACGGGACTCAAGTTGGCGACATAGTTGTCATACTATTCGGTTCGAATGTCCCCCATATATTACGGCCCGGTGCTTCACCAGGCGAATATTTCCTCATTGGAGAGTGTTACATCGACGCAGTTATGCATGGTGAAGTATTTGACAAGGAAGCTGTCCCGAAAGAAGAAGTATTCTTGCTAGTCTGATACTTGCCAGTAATTTATGCATAGTTATGCCTAGGTGCCTTGGGCATTGTAACAGATTGTGCGCAGGAAACTCTCAGCTCCGTGGGTAGTCAGTAATCCGTACTCGACTATCATCCCATAAGCCTGCTAATACTATTCTGTTACCAGTCCACGGAGAACGTGAATGCATTACTGCGTAGTTCTGTTGAAGCATTAGGAAAATAATCGAGATTAGGTCATGACAAGTGTTCTAAAAGGAAGGCATACATACGTCAAGTAGAACAATATCTCCGACCTGCCATTTAATTAGTACCTGGAGAGATTCCGCCAGTGAGAGTGCTAAGTCGAGGTACTCTTTCTCTATCGGTGTGCCATCCCCATACTCAGGAGGTGGATGGTATGAGTCGTCGTCGCCTCTGTAAGGAGGCTCTGTCGCTCCATGGTACTTGCTTCGGCCCCAAGCACTCGTAAGATTACCAAACCATGTGGATAGACCAGTATCCTCATGCTTCCTAATAACTATGCTCATCATCAGTTTCACAGTTTTAGACGTATGAAGTGGAGGGCCTTACTTGGAACGATATGCGTCACGCTCAGTGATCCATCGTCATGCCACTGAAAGTCGTTACTATGCCTTCGGACTTCCTTTTCAATTTTCTGCCTAATAACATCCTTGTTGTCACCTTGGTTCACATGTTGGCCGTATGCGCCTAGGACACTCGTCCCCGTATTTGATTTCACATCCTCTAATCCGTATCTGTACACATATTTAACTCCTTTTTGAAGCAACTTCTCGATAAACTCAGGTGCTCGTCTCTTCAATGCGGCTGCTAGGCCAAGACTAGATATAATTGGTGTCTCACCCCCTAAAAAGTAAGTCAGATCATAACAGAGTCAGACAAGATACTGAATATTATATTTAAATACCTGACTCAGGTGCTTCTAGACAAGCAAATGTTAACCACGAGGGGTTTATCGTCGACCAGCCGTACTCATTATGAGGCCAGATAGGAAGTTCCGGAGGCCTCTTAGAGATTAGCAGCGTGACTACGACAAAGGCCTTTAGACTTTACCCTTCATTCGCCGTTTTGATATTCTTAGCCAGTACCGTTCGTAGCGGTGGTCGGCCAACTTCTTCGTGAGGCGGGAACCCAAATGCATGAACTACGTCACTGTACTCTTGAGGCGTCTTGATAGGTAGCCCACGGATGAGAACCGCGCCGCCATGCCCCCTCAACTTATCGAACAATTCGCCAGATTCCGATAGTCTCTTTATAGTTGATATGGACTCTTCTAATGTGAGATTCCACTCCTTGGCTGGTTTCAGTGCTAGTGGGAATACTGTATTGGTGTTCAACCCAAAGCTGGCTGTCTCTTGCTGGCCAGAAAAGGTAAAAACTTCAAAGCGATCATGTTTAGACATCTTCAACTAACACACTTATATTGAAACAAGCTAGATTGACTTTTCAGCCTGGCATGAAGCAAAACATCAAATATCGGGATGAACATATTAATCTACAATTATCGTGATATATAAACCCTTGTTTCTTCCACGAATCGTAACGGACCCGAAAGACGTCAATGGCATTGGGAATGTCGCAACTTATATATCCCCGCAATTCCCCTTAAGCAGACCTATTCATTGGCTGTTCGCCTTCAAATTAAGTCGTACCCCTCGAATATGTAGCATGCCAAGCTGTTCTACAGCATTATTCTATAACTCTTATGGGCATGAATGGAGGGTTGACTGATTGGCTGGCCATGCTATTCGTGATTGATTAAGCAGATATTCGGGAACTACCATATGCAGACGCAGCGTCCCGGGAACCAGGTCCAGGGCACGATGCAACTTAATAGATTAACGTAATACAAAGCCGATTCGGAGCACGCCATTGCTAAAGTTCCTCAATTCAAGGGGCCGATGTCACTGTATTCTTAAACACTTGTTCATAGTAGGTAGTTCCTGGACCGAGAGGGGCCAATCTCAAGGCATCTATAAGCAGCTATAGGCACCTAATTTATAAAGAAAGTCAAAAGCTACAAGTTTCTACCTAAAGTCTAGTTACTTATTTCACAATATGTCTTCAGATAACGATATAGCAACGCGTGATCCTATTAAAGCATCACCGCCTAGTGAGGAAGTTGATATAACCCTACCAAAATATTCTTGGTATCATGGAGTCTTTTTCAACGCCACAGTTGTCGGTATTTCGGCATTTGCGGCGCCAGGATTATGGAATGCTATGAACTCGGTTGGTGCTGGGGGACAGCAGACCCCGTATCTTGTCATGTAAGAGTCTATACGTGGGTGTTGGACCTAACTGACAAAATAAATAGGGCGGGCAATGCTATTCTATTCGCCGTCATGACGTTAACGTGCCTGGCTGGGAGCATGATGGCCAACCGATTCGGCTTGCGAAACTCTCTAGTAGTCGGCACAGTTGGTTATGTGATCTACTCGGCAGCTCTATACACCAATAATCGCTACGGTACGGAATGGTTCATATACCTAGGCTCGGCAGTCTGCGGCCTCTCGGCAGGGATTTTCTGGGCAACAGAAGGCACTATTATGCTGAGTTATCCCGAACCAGAAAAACGTGGCAGGTACTTAGCTTATTGGCTCAGTTATCGCAACAGCGGTTCTATACTCGGCGGTATTATCAACCTTGCCTTCAACTACGGAGGAAAGACGACAGGTAAACTCGACTGGAGAACCTATATCGTCTTTGTTGTCCTGCGTTAGTCCCAACTGTGCTTGTGATAGTTACCAAAGTGTCTAACTTATGTCCTAGAATGCTTGGGACCAGTATGTTCCTTATTATTGACCCCGCCCGAAAGGGTCGTCCGCAGAAATGGATCGCGTGTCCAGATATCAGATAGGATACCGGACCTTGAAGAACTGAAAGCCCTGGGGCATGTTTTTTTACGAAGAGACTTTCTCTTGATGTATGTGTTGGGGATATCTAAATCCAATCGGCACCTAATGTTATACTGACCATAGGCGTAATAGTTTACCTTACTTCATATACGTCACATGGGAGTTGCCGTATATTAGTGCCTACTTATCACTATATTTCTCAGTACGTTCGCGCGCTTTGGCTTCTCTTGTTTCCGCCATCGCCCAGGTTGTCACAACTCTCGCATTCGGGGCTTTCTTGGATTGGACGAGAGTAGGTCTGAATAAGCGAGCCAGATATGGATATATAGCTATGATGGTTCTCATTGGTGGCTGCTGGATTTGGGGGGTCATCATACAAAACGAATATACGCATCATAAACCAGCCCTAGACTGGGACGATAGTAGATTTGGGAGAGGCTGGGCTTTATACATTTTCTGGCAGATTAACTTCTCACTAACGTATAACTTTGGCTTCTGGCTTATTGGCTTCCTAGCTAGGGAGCCCAAAGAGATCGTGAGGTATATGTCGATTGCGAGAGCTGCAGAATCAGCTGGACAATGTATCTCGAGCGGTATTAGCTCGACTTCAGCACCAGTATGTAAATACACAATTAATCCGTATCTCCATGTCCGTCAGCTAACTGTTTTACAGTTGATATCAGCTTTGGGGGTTAGTTTTGCCCTATGGGGTATTGCTGTTATCCCGGCATATTTCGTGGTTCGCCAAGTGGGGGTAATTTACATTGGCCCTGAGAAACCAACCCGGGATTCTCATAAAGACGATAATGGGTTAGAAAGGCCATAGAAATATTTAACTTTCCTTCATAACTAACTTTAAACTCTTTCCTCTAAAATCTACTTGATCAATAGGTACCCCTGAATACGCTAAAGACAGGGCGGTGAACTGATCCCTTAGATACTGTAGATCTATCACTATTGTTAAGCAACAGCGCCTCTCTTGACTCAAATAGACCCTAAGGTAGCCATTCACTCATCCCTTATCAGCGTTGTGAAACCAACATGACCGTGGTGTAATCGTAATGAAGTGGAGCTAGAAATAATTCCTCTATGGGAGGGGGCGAGGGCAAGCAAGGCCAACTTGTTCTAGTCAATCAATTCGAAGGTCGAATCCTAGGTCCCAGCTTTTTTATCTCTCATTCTTTCGAATGGTTACGACTAATTTATTTGCAACTCGGAAGTAAAATGAAGAACCATTATACGTTTAGTTTATTCATAAATATATAGAAAGAGGTAACTACCTGTCATTTCAATAATCATACCTTTTTCTGCCATCTGAAAAATCTGCGGTTTGCCTGTTTCCCTGCCTTTATTAGAGTGGGTTGCAAGTACCATGATCCTGTTTTCGGTTGTTCAAGGTCGATAGCAGTTGAGAAAACTATCTGACTCTCTTTGACCCTTGTAATTTCTTCCTCATTGTTCTCACCCTCAGACACGACACCGATCCTCACAGGAAATAGATGGGCATCTGAATCCCCTTCTGGTCGCTGGCACATTAGACTAATACCAGAACTGCTCATTCCTATTAGCTGAAAGCCAGCTGGAACGCCCTGAAATTTCCGAGCAAAACTATTGATCATGAGACCCAGCACTAAGACTGCTCCCAGGGTGATAGCCAAGAGGACTCCTAATGCTGAATATCCTCTGGCAGAGACATCGAACTCCGAATGTCGCTCGCCATTAGCTCCCGGACCGAACGAGCTAGTCTGCACAACGAATATTCCCTGAGATATGAACCAATGTAATAGAATAGAACCCGTCATAAGTAAGATAGAGTATTTCAGAGGTAAAGAAAGGAAGTAGGAAGACCTCTGCATGCCGACAGGAGAGGTCACGCGGAGAGGTTTCTTCCCCTCGGGGTGGGTAAAGCGTGTCCACTCGTCTGCTACCAGCTGTCTCGTCAAGATAGAATTGTAGAAGAGGTATATGAAGCTCACTATCACCTGAGGAAGATTGGCGACAAGGACGTTTCCGATAAGGTCTACACCCCCATCACCCTGTGATTTCCAGAAAGAGTGACCTATCATCGATGAATTGACCTCGAATCCCAACCCCCATATATCGGAAAATGATAGATTCATACCCTCAGTTTTAAGTCTGTTGATATAATCTCCAATGAGACCAGAAGGCACTGCTAGGCCAATACTAAACCTAGATAGTAATTTCCATTAGTTCAAACTTCAAGGGTATTTATATTAGAAAGCAATGCAGAAACACTAACAGAATAATTGCTATAGTCCAAGTCCGGATACTGACAGCTGTGAACCAGTAACTCTGACATTCGCTCCATTGTGCCAGTCGAAGTTGATAGAAATCTCCATTTGCGGTGTTGGGGCGATCTTGGCCTTCGCATTCTTCATTGGTTTCGGTACTGGGCTCGTGTAGAAAATCAGCGATCGCGTCTCCGATGGTAATTAAAGCACGCCGACGCCTTCCGCTTTCCCCAGATGGATTATATCTACGAAAGTATATGTTTGTCCAGAGGACGAGCAGACACTGCAAAGAAGAGCAGATGCAAACAATGACCATAATATGCAAGCTGTAATGAAGCCCGCATCTCTCCTCATTGTTACCCTCATCACCAACTAAACAATGGTCAACGAGGAAGTTTGGAAATCCAGCAGACTTCCCCACTACCCAACCATCATCCAACGTATCAGCCCAGTCTAAGCTGCATACTTTTGAATAATCTCCCGAGTCATATGCAGAGCATAGCCAGTAATTACCAGCGTCCCAGTAGTCCCATCCGCTCATCCAACCGTCGAGTAGAGATGAACCATTATTCTGTTCGGTTGTCAAATTCTGAGCGACGACCAAAACAGCTCTTGTGGATTTCAACGGATTCAGATACTCCTTGACACATTCCTTTGGGTCTAGCCGCGTCAAACTCGCCGCATTAGTTTTCATGGTATAAACCGGCGCTAAATCGTATTTGACAGTGCCCCATCTATCTCCAGATGGGAAATTCCACCACCAACGTTGTGGTAGGGGGTCGCTGGTGGTCCAATTGTCCGGTGCCGCTTGGAAATCAGCTGTTGCCCAGGCGCGTGGGATTGACACTATAGGTAATGACGTGAATATTACCGAGTTCCAGCTATCAATGTCCATTAGCAGCTTATACTCAGTCTATCCACGTAACCAGAACACTTACACGAAATGTAAAAGAGCTGCCGTGACGCCGAGAGACAGCCATCCAACCACTCGGCCACGAGAAATGTGTCGTAGGTTTTTAACATTGGGAATGCCGATCCTCAGCGATATTCCCTTCGAATGTGCCTTGTCTATTTCATATCGACTAGGCGAGACAAGTAACTGCATACAGTAGTTTCCAGAGCTGAGTAATAGACTAGAAAGAATGTTCATTATGGCATGAATAACACTGTTTAGCGTGCTCGCCCTGGAGCAGTTGCCGGAAAAATACGTGCCCACGCCACGATAATTCGGATTATGCGTGACTACTGACCAAACCATCATAGCAGTGCTCACTGCAACCACTAGGCATGCGATTATTAACTGGATCTTTAGCATTGCCGTTTTCTTGGCCATCTTGACTCTAAGTGTGATAGCTCGTGGATCTGACGGGTTTAGCTCTGGTATGTACTTGGACAGCATCTCTGTTTTAGCGTATCGGGGTCCCCCATCCTTCTCGTCGGAGAGGAGAGGCCTAGCTTGGTTCGCTGCCTCTTCATTATGCGTCGGTGATGATCCTAGACCTTCGGTTGTTGATTCAATGCTCGTGCGCGACGAAGTATCCGACATTCTGTTGTATAAGTGCTGAGGAACCCCCCAGCACTACAAGGCACCTAAGTAAGTAGGTGCCTATTGATGATGATATTTAGTGCACTATATTTCTGGGGATATCGAGTCTAACTATATAAAATGCATAGGCGCCTAACATCCCACCCAGGAAACCACCCCTGTCTCATAGGCCCACTCACGATCATACATTATCATCCAAATAGAGGCGCAAGCATGACAAGGGAACTATTTAGTCGATCTCTTCCACATAGGTGATTCTCGTCAGAATTTACCAAATATTCAAATATTGAAGCGTATTATTCCTTCTCATATAATGAGCACCTTAGATAAGGTACCTAGGCAATGTAGGTAGGTAAGTTACTTCGCCCCTAATCTTTATATTTGGGGTAGTTAGAAAGTAAATTCTAATGATCTAGTTATGGAAATTTCTAAACGTTCTAAAATAATGCCTAAGACGTATTTAGATAATGATAGATTATAAATTCAACGTACCTATCGTATATATACTATTAGGTAAGGGTTAGTCAATTACGTATAGTCCAATGTTACTACCAAGCCTTGCAAACCTCAGCTTTGCCAGCTAAGCCACAATACAGATCCGTACAACCGTGCATAGATGCCAACGACAGCTGAACGACAGGGGCTATAATCAGCGTACCAATGAGCTAATAGACTAAGTAGTAGGTAGCGTTTCTTAGATTGTTTTCTATCTATGATTACATTATACGAAGTTTGATAGATTCAAAAGGCGACAGATCTCTTCCCCTAAGTAATGTAACTACCTACCTAACTATTAAATACCGTAGGTATTTTAGACAGTATTATAAAACCCCTAGCTAGATCCTTCAGCTATGAAGTTAGACTTGTTTCTAAGTTTATAGGACAAGTCTCTAAAAATGATGCGGGGCTCTTGGTTCCTTGGTGGTATGCGAAATCTCTATATTACCCAAAGTTAGGCCTTCTTCCATAGATCTGTTACGAGCCTCGCTTGCCCTGCCGTTTGATGATGAAAGAAGACGCCCGGCTGACCCGCGCAACTTGGAGAAGGAGAATCTGAGGGCAATTTGCTCCTGGATAGGACGGAGGGTTGGGAGACATGCGCTTAACACACCCACGTGAGTCTCGATTATGGTCCAGTAGAAAATTTGCGTATATATCCCTATATGACCTTTTTAGCATTTTATATTCTTATAGCCGTCGAGCTATGGATTTGGAACCACGTACAGGAACCATCTATCTCGGCAGACTCTTCGGGGACAGAGTATATTTGGGTTAAAAAGTGAATCCGAATAATGCCGACAACACTAACTAAACCACCAAGGAAGAAGATGCATATGACCAAGGCCTTTCGCGTAAATGGCATCTGTAACAGCCAAACTTTGTAAATTGGTAAGAAGAGGATCGTAACTAATACATAAATAAGTTTCTTTCCGAAAGATAAGTACCATGGCGCCATGAATGTAGCTTACAATCTGTAGCAACATCTGTAGCTAATGCAGTAGTAGATAGCGCCCCCTGGTTGACATGTGTGGACTCAATTTTGTAATTCCATTGTGCAACAATCGGCATACGTGAAACTAGGATACCAGTTAAGTATAGTTACCTAGGTACCTAATGATACAGGTGTTTTATCAAGGGGGAAAATACATACACATAAGGGCAAAGGTAAATACTATCGTCCAAATAGTTATAATACCAACAAGAACCCAAGTCATTGTCCTAAACCTTGATGTTGTAAAGATACGCTTATACATCAGGAATACACTGATTTTGGTTAGTCCTACTGTTGGCCATGTTAATATCTCAAGTGCATATGTTGTCTACATACGTACAGTTAGTTATCGTGTAATAATAAGTAGTCTAACACGATATAAAATGCAGTTACTTACCTTGCCGAAGATTACCACGGATTCGGGATCTAGCGGATATCCGTCATCGTCATACAGTTGATGGGTTCCTAGACCGCCTTGCTGGGTCACTAATAAGTTGAAATGTGTTAGACCACTAATAGATTAAAAATATAGCATTCTACCCTACTAATGAGAATATCTATTGTGACACCAATACTAAATATCTAAAAATCCACATGTTAGAAACGGTAACACCAGCAGCTTTATACGGTAGAAAGTCTCACCAGAGCTAGAAGGATAGTCCAGTCATCAGACTCTAACTTTTGGCCCTTTATTCGGCGAGCCTGAAACCTAAGCGCAACTGAAGTAATAGCGATGATAGGGAATGTGATTCCTAATCCCCATATTGTTGGCTGTTGGTTTTGAGCCATGGTAACACTATTAAAAAGGGATAAAATATGGTTCCAGAGAAGGGGGTAGCAAGAAGTCTCCCCACATGGACGTCCATAGCTATTTAAAATACCTACCTACCTACCTTACTCCTGTATCACGAAGCCACATTTACATATTTGTCAGCTAACTGCATAATCATAAATTAATTAGTTCGTTACCTAACTGAAAGCCCCCAAACGCCACCATAATAATACGGCAATGATAAGACACTCATTGAGTACCTGAGCGCCTGGTTAACGTACCTATGCAGCTAGGTAGATAGGTATCTTTTTAAGAGAGACATTGCCGCGCGCACACTCCTACAAACACATATTCATCTACACTTATGCTTCCCGAGATTGGTGCTAGAAGGCATCCATCTACTTCTAGCATGCTACTTATAGTTATTACATTCGTAGGAGTGACTTTGGCAATCACGTCAGCCATCATCGATGGGTTCTTTCATCCTCAGGATAGCCTGCCGAGGGTTGGCACAAGCCCAGGGCCTTTCAGCTTGCGAACATGGTGGGCTCGATGGAAATGGTGCAAATATGGACACGAGGATGTGATACGGAAATATGAACAGGTATGATAATACTATAGCTGGTATCTGCGAGTTTTGCTACTAATTACGTCTCTGAGATAAAGTCTAAAGACATGAATTATGTCATTCAAACGTTGATGGGTGATAGAATCATTCTCTCTCCCAAATTCCTCGCTGAGCTAAACATGCTTCCCGAATCCAAGCTGAGTTCGACGGCAGCCTTAGTAGACAGCGTAATGGGTCAACATAACGGTGTAGATCTCCTTTTGCGAGACCATTTGACCACCGATATCTGTAGAGGCTCTTTTACGAGAAATCTGCGTAAGATTATCAAGGAAATATGAGAAAACTCTAAAAGCTAACTACCTAAACAGCGACATTCCTCCCACTAATGGTCCAAGAGCTCCATACGGCCATGGCTGAAAAGCTTAGCGAGAGTACGGTTGAGAGTATGTCAGGAGGCAACCTAACTCAAATATCAATATAACGGTGACTGACAGAGTCGATAAATCATCAGGTCCAGTAATATATAATTCCTACGAACTCCTGTTATCCCTCATTCATCGTATTTCCTCCCTGGTCTTCGTTGGCAAGTCATATTGTCGCAACTCAATCTGGACAGATGCCGTGACCTCCTTACCTATTGATGTCGAGATCACTAAATTCCTCCTACTACCGCTGCCAATATTCCTCCGACGCTTAGTCGCACCTTTAATCCCACAGCGAAACCGTATCTTCCGTCAACGCGCTGCGGTGCGCGATCTTCTTTTTCCTCCGTTAGAAAAGAACAGAGTCTTAGAGCACCCTAGTGTTATGAAGCTATTTATTGAAAGCGGAAAGGATACAGACCCCGATAGTATTACGGCTAGACTCCTACTTCTGACGGCGGCCGCGGTAAGACTATATGAGTAACTAAATGATATGATGGGCAAAATGTACGACTAATCACACAGTGTCACCAGATTCACACATCATCCATGGCAATAACCCATGTGATATTCGACCTCTGTGCTATGCCAGAGTACATCGAGCCCTTACGGTCCGAGGCGCAAGCAGCCCTGATCAAAGACGATGGGAAGTGGCAGTTCTCTACTATTAAAAGACTTCGCCGGCTAGATAGTTTCCTGAAGGAATCACAACGATTAAATCAGTCCACATTTCGTAAGCAATACGCTTCTTCTACTTTAGGCACCATTCAACAACTAATAATTCATCCAGTCGGATTTGATCGCAAGGTCATGTCTCCCATCGAGCTGTCCGATGGCAAGACTATCCTCCCACGTGGAGCCTCAATCGTCATGTCCGGAGGGCCTATGGCACGGGACCCGGCATTCTACAAGAATCCTCAACAGTTTGATGGTCTTCGTTTCTATCGCCCAGATGAGGACACTGCGAGCTCGACAAATATACAACAAGACTATACAGGCATCGAACCGGGCAATCTCTCATGGGGTAATGGCAGGTTTACCTGCCCGGGGCGATGGTATGCATCGGCAATGATAAAGCTAATCGTAGCAAACCTCTTGCTCGAATATGATATTTCATTTCCTCCCGGGCAGATGGAACGACCGCCGAACGGGAAGTATGATACAGACGTACACCCGAATTTCGAACAGAACATTGTTCTGAGGAAAAGGGATGTTGCCAAATAATATCGCCGACTAATGCTAATTAGTCATAAAGGCGCTGTAGCATAATTACTCAACTTCTGATATGGTATTGTGGACGATTACGCTACATAGGAAAATACTCGTTTATGGGATTGTCTGATTAAGAGATGTGACTGATTTTCATATTCTCTCTTCACATATCACGAGGTGAAACTAAAATCTAGAATCCTAATATTATATATAGTTAGTACCTACCTATCCAAGGTAGGTAGGTTTAGGGGTAGGTAGGTATTAATGCTATCTACACAAGTTCGATATAGCATCCCTAAAGGAGTATTACGCATTAATTAAAGAAATAGGTAAAATTTGGGATTTAACCAAGATTTATTTTATATATACGATTTTGTTAAGAATTCCATATAATTTAAATATATCCTTTTTAATATATATATTTTTTTTATAATAATATTTTATAATTTATATAATTATATAACTATGTTATACTTTTATTATAATATATATTTATATACCAATTTATTATAATTCCTTATATTTTATTAATTTATTATAATTATTTATATTTTAGTATTTATTTACGTATTAATCTTTTATATTTTAATATATATTTATATATTAATCTATTATAATTTATTATAATTATTTATATTTTAATACTTTTTTATATATTAATTCTTTATATTTTAATATATATTTACGCATTAATTTGCTATAATTCTTTATATTTTACTAATTTATTATAATTATTTATATTTTAATATTTATTTACGTATTAATTCCTTATATTTTAATATATATTTATATATTAACCTATTATAATTATTTATATTTTAATATTTATTTACCTATTTATATATTTAATTTAATTTATTTTTATATTATATAATTTATTAGAAAATATTTCCACATATTTAAACCTTTATTTTTTTATTATATATTTAAATATATTTAATAAATATATAAAAAATTAATAATTAATAATTAATTTTTAAAAAAACTTTAATTATGGTAATATAATTATAAAAGGTTTTAATTATAAGTTAAAGGTTTTAAATAAATTTTAATTATAGGTTAAAGGTTTTAAATAGATTTTAGTTATAGGTTAAAAGTTTCAAATAAATTTTAATTACGGTTTTAAAATTATATAATATATAGTAATTAATTATATATATTTTTAAACTTATTCCTAATTATTTTAAGGTTTTTTTTCTTTTAAATCTTTTTTAAATTCCTTTTTTAATATTTCTTTAAAAATAAAATTATTAATATTCTTATTTATTAAAATCTTTAAAGTAATTTAAATATTATTATATACCAACGTGGCTAAATTAATTTTATTAAAATTAAAAATTTTTAAATTTATTTATTGCTTAAAATAAAATATTTTAATATATTAATAAATATAAATAATTATTTTTTAATAATATTTTTTAATAATTTTATTAATTAAAGATTGGTTAAATTTATAAAATAATAAATAAATAAAGGTATTTTTTAAAAAAAATTTTTATTAATTATTAAATTTTGCCCTATTTATTAAACTTAATTCGCTTAAATTAATTCTTAATTTTTTGGTAAATTTGTTAAATTTTATAGCGTATATTTTTATAACACTATTTTTATAAAAATAAAGATTTTTTTATAATTTATATTAAAAACGGTAATAAAATTATAATATATTATTATAATTTAAAAAAAATTTATAATAATTATATATTTTAAAATTTATAAATATTTTAAATATTATTTAAATATTAATAAATTACCTATATAATATAGCGCCTTTTTATTACTATATTCTCCTTTCTTTTCTTTTAACAATTTAACATTAATAATTACATCGTTTTATATTATTAATAATAAAATAAAACCGGTTATTTTTTACCATAAATGGTTTAATATAATTTAAAATACGTTTTTTTAATTAGCGTTATTATTATTTAATAGTTATTATATATAAATTATATAATTCTTTTATAATTATAAATTTATTTATAACTATTATATATATAATTTTTTTAAACTTTCAATAAATACATATTATAATAAAAAATATTAATATTTAATTAATTTTTAAGATTTTTAAATAAAAATAAATAAATTTAAAAAATTTATTAATAATCTATAAATCTATTATTAATATATATATAATTACCTAATTAATTTTTTTATATAGAAATAAAATTATTAAACCTTTATCCTTTTAATTAAAAATAAATATTATATAACTGGATTTATTATAATATAAAATAATTATAAAAATTAATAATAATAAATTTTAAAAATGATTTAATATTATTTATAATTTATAAAGATATATTTTATATTTATATTAAATATTTTTAATATTATTACACATAAATATATAATTATAAATAAAATAATATTTAATTAAAAAATTAATTTTAATATAATTATATATACCAATTTTAATAATTTAAATAAATTATTACTAATATTTTAATTTTAATACGTTAAAAAATCTAAAATTAAATAATTAAAACTTATATATAAAATAAAATAGTAAAAAAAATATAATAATCTTTAATTTAATAATCTATTTATAAAATTAAACCGTTAAATAATTGCTATAATTATTTAATATTAAAAAACGTTTTTTATTAAAATTTTCCAATATTATATATTAATTAAAATATTTAAATTAATTTAAATTAATTATATTATTAATTTAATTATTTTTATTAATAATTAATATTATATTATTAATTAATTTATTAAATATTTAATTTTCCAATATTTAATAATTAGGTAAAATTAAAAATAAGGCTATTATTATTTTTATAATAAAATAAATCTTAATTACCATAATAAATATTTTAAAATTAAAATTAATTAAATAAAATTTTAAAAAATTATTTTAAATTTATAACCATATTTTATTTAAATAATTAATTTTTATATTAATTTTATCCATATTATATATATATTAAAATTTAATATAATAATTTTATTATATTTAATATAATTTATTAAACTAATAAATAATAATAATAATATTATAGGTTAATTTATAAATAATTAATATTAATTAGTTTTAAATTTATTTAAAAATATAATAATTTTATTTTAAAAATTAAGCTATTTATTATTATTAAATATACCTAAAATAAAAACATATATTATAATTAAATAAAATAATTTAATTAATAATATACTAAATAATATTTATATTAATATAATAACCGATTTTAATTAATTAATAAAATTATATATAAAAAATTATTTCTTAAAAATTGATAAAAATAATATTATTACTATTATTTTTATTATAAAAATAAGATTTATTATATCGATTTAAAATATATTTATATAATATATTAAAATATTTAATAGCATTTTTAACCAATTTAAATTGGTTTTTAAAGAAGGCCTAAATTATTAATTAAATTTTAATTTTAATAAAATTATTAAAAATTATAATAAATAAGGTAAAAATAATAGGTAAAAAAATAGAAATAATATTAATTAAAATTAAAATAAAAATATTAACTATTACTTTAAACGTTATAATAATTTTAAAATTATTTATATTATTAATATATAAAAAATATTAATAAAATATATAATTTATAAATAAATAATAATAATTAATATTAAATATAAATAAAAAAAAAAAAAATAATTAAAATTTTAATATTAAATACTATAATTTATATAATTTTTTAAAATTTTTATAATTTTATTTTAATTATTATATATATATATTTTATTAATATTAATAAAATAAAAAAAAATAATTTAAAATAATAATATTTAATAAAAATAAAAAAAATAAAATATTAAAAAAATATACTTTATATTAATAATTATAAAATTAAAATTTAAAATTTTATTACTATTTAAATAAATTTATAAAATTAATTTTTAATTAAATTATATTAAATAAATATTATTAATAAGATTTAAAATATAATAAATTTTATAAAAATTATTTATTTTATTTTATTTCAACTTTATACTTCTTTGCCTCTATTTTTTATATTTTCCAAAACTCTTATTTCCGCAATTTTCCTATTAAATATAATAATATATTTTTTAAATATAATAATATCTTTATTATAATTTAAACTAAAACATTTAATTAATATAAAAAAATACTTTTTAAAATTATTAAATTCCTATATTTTAAAATCTTTTTTAATATTTAATAATTATATATTAACTCTTTATTATATAATATTTTATATTATTAAATATAAATCTAAAAAATCTTTAAATAAAAATAAGGTAAATTTTTTAATATATTAAATATAATAAATAAAATTTCTAATTAATATATTAATAATTTTAATTTTTTTATATATAATTTTTATAAATTTCTATATTATAAAAATTAAAATATATATTAATTAATAAATATAAAAAAAAACTATATTTTATAATAGAAAAATTAGTTAAGTTATATTTAAAATAATTTAATTATTAATAAAAATTTAGTTTTTATTTATTAATTAAAAACTTAAATTTCTTTTATTTTTTATAATTAAATATAAAATAAAATAAATATTTTATATATAATAATAAAAATTAAAATTTCTATTTTTTTAATTTATTAAAAAAGAATTTATTATTTTAATGGTATATTTAATAAATAAATTAGATTTTAAATTATATAAAATTAAATCCTTTTTAATAAAAAATAATAAAAATTACCGCTACTATAAAACTTAATTATTTATAATAATTAATAATATTATTATTATAAAATTTATAATATTTTTGAAATTATTAAAAATAATATTTTTATATATTATTAAAAATATTAATAAAAAATAAATATTATATTATATTTTTATATTATTAAATAATTTTTATTTTTATATATTATTTATTATTTTTTTAACTTTTTTATTAATTTAAATAAAAAATTTTTATATTAATTAATAAAGATTTTATAATTTTATTAAATTTATTTTTAATATATAATTTTAAAAAATTAATATTATTAATATAATAAAAAAAATAAAAATATAGCATATAAACCTATTACCTTAAATTTTATT